ATGTTTACTTGTCAATTAACAGATTCTTTTAATGTTTACTTGTAAATTAACAGATTTTTCGCAACAAATTTTATTATCCTAATCCCTATATCTTTGCAACTTGATGAGGTAAACATTTTACTTTTAATACCACATATCTTATCTTTCAAAATCAATAGTTTTATATGTGAAAGGTCTACTATATCAGTTTCAAAGATATAAGGAATAAAACGTGCTGAAATTTGATATTGTTGTTCTAGGGAGAATATTGTGCTGAGTTGTGATTTAGAAATACTATTTACTGTACTCAACCAGGCTCAACAGATAGGGATAGGTAATAAACACAGAATCTATAAATATAAACTTTGTTTGTCTGTTTGTTTGTGTGTCCGATCATAACTCAGGAACCCCTTGACCAATATGCCTCAATTGTTGGTATATAATAACATGTGTCATATGCTAATATTTGTCAAAAGTAAAAATAACCATAAACATTTTTTCGGGATACTTTTTAAACTTTTATACAAATCCTACCTTACACCCTCTTACCCTAACCATTAAAGTTAGAAGTATAATTTTTTTTAATGAGCAGGCCTTGAAAAATTGGACTAGGGACATGTATCCTCTATCTCAACTCTAAGGGCAAAATCATTGAGGGGGTCGGGAAACAACCCCCCCCCCCCCCCCCATCAATAGACAAAAATAGCCTAATCGGGATAGGGTTAAGCTGAACCAAAAAACGTTAGTTTTATTATGGTCTAAGAAAAGTGTCTTTTATTTTATACTAGCTGACGTGCCCGGCATTGCCTGTGTCACCCCCAGGCTATTCATGGGTGTCCACAAAAAAATTCAGCCCATTTAGTTTAGTAATTTGGCCGGCTATTGGTAAAACTTGTTTGATCAAGGTAATATTGCGTAGTTAAGTGTAATTTTAAATGACCCTCCTAGTGTTACAAAGTGTTGAAGAATGAATGATATCAATGTTTATAATTTTGTAAACTGATTATTTTAACTTGTGATTTATTTCTCTATGAAAGTGACTCAACATTATAATAATTATTGGAGTAAACACTTTGAAATATGGAAGAACGACAATATCTTCCTCCACTCTTAAAGTTGCATGATCCGAGCCGGTACAACATGTAAAACATGTATATGCATTCAGTCGTAAAAAATGTAGCCTGTCAAGATCACAGTCCAGAAAAAGGTCTTAAAGGTCCTGTTGTGAATCGAGCATCTTTGCATGGAGGGCCACTAAGAATTACGTTTATATAGTCCCTTTAATCCGATATAAATGTTTTTAAAAAAATCTTAATAATATAAATGTTAAGATGAGTGAATTATTATTTCTTCATCATAAAAAATGTCAAGAACAGAAACTGATGTCTAGAGAAGGTTTGGCTAAAAATACAGATTAACAATTTCGTATAATTCCATTTATAAAATAAAACAAAAGTGAATTAGAATATCACAACTGCATTATTTATATCATGACCTGAGCTGAAAACTTTTGAATGGTGGATATCGGGATTAAGGCTTAATCCACTCTTTTTCTTAATTCCGAGATTAAATTTTGCTTGTTCTCCTCTCATTTTTAATCTCCAGATTAATTATCCGATCAGGATTAAGGATATCCCATTCTAAAGTTTTCAGCTCTGAGCAACAATAGATACCGTTGATTTACATCTGAAAATAGTTTTCAATTCTTCTGAGTACATGCTTTATGTCTGTACTAGAGTTGGATAAAATCCGCAAATCACTTTTATGAAGAAACCACAATGAAAAGAAAAACAATAAAATAAAAAACAAGGTTGTTTTATTTTACAAAAAAAATTATAGTTGAAGAAGCAATATAAAACTTGTACTTTTCCTTTAGATCTGTTCAACCTGATGGTTTAAACCTTTAAAATTTAAATGATTTGATAACAGATTGTAAAGATAACGAGATCCAAAAAACATAACTTCTGCAGCTAGTTTGCAGTTGTTTTTCTTAATAATTAGTGTTTTGTTCTAGTGACTGGAAAACAGAATTGGATTCTAACCAACCTTGACGCTCATACAGCTGATCTCAGTCCCTTCAAATATGATTATACTAACTTCACCCTCTTCAGGTATGTCTCCCCCTTACCCACCCTCTCTCATCGTATTTATTTCTAAAAAATAATGAAAATATTCGAATATAAAAAAAATGTTAGTATCATTGAATTAGTAAAAAATTGAATCTTTGTCACAAACTCTGATGTTCTAATCACTATATCTTTGCAACCCAAATAAGTATTTTTTTAGATCAAATAATCTAAGTTTGAATTATCAAAGGTTTACACCATCAGGTTGCAAAGATTTATTGTTCGGAAAACTGGAGTTTGTGGCAAAGACTTTGAATAAAGTTTCAATAATCTCTTGATTTTCAATTTTCAATTCGTAATACATGCATTAGATAAGGTATTTAATAGATCAAGCAGAATTTTTTTTTATAATCTTTCTTTGAGAGTAAACAGGTAAAATCTGTAATAACTCACCCCCAAGGTTCCAATTGTCCCAGAAATTTACAATTGTCTCCAATTATTGATTAATACTTAATTCAAGAGCCATCAACGCTCGGCAATTTTCTAACACTGAATATTAGAAATGGGCACCAATTGAAAAACTCGAATTTTAGTATATCGGCCAATATCAAAACTCGATATTAAAACCAACACTACCAACATCTTATTCAGCATGATGAGGACAACAATTCTGAAAGTCCAGAGTCGCCCAAAATTTACCATTTTCTCTATTTTTTGATTTATTGATTTATTGGTTTATTGATTTGTTGATTGATGGATTGACGTAATAATTGGTGAATTGATTTATTGATTGGTGAATTGATTTATTGATTGATGGATTAATTGATCGATTGGTTTATTGATTTTTTGATAGATTGATTGATCCCGGGAACCCTTTTGTTTACAGAATCCTGGGAGAAATCGTCGAGGAAAACATGTTAAAAAAATTATTAATAAAAAAATTAAATAAAATTTTTTTTAATTAATTTGTTCCAAGAGTTTAATCCAACATCAGGTTCCCTAAACAATATTATGAATATTAAGGTACTGTTCTCTGATTAAAGAGAAAGTCCGATTCACATCGTTACCCTTATAAAACCTCTGTCTTATAAAAATTCATAGAGGTGACCCTTAAAAAAAATATATATTTTCAAATGCGGTTTTTTATATAGAAAGCATTAATGAAAACAATGTTCGAAACACATTGTTATAGCGATTTTATCCTTTTTTCTATTTAAATTTAGTAAAATTAATTGCAGTTTTTTATAACGAAAACAAGAATATATTTGTTTGAATCCAACCCTTTTCAAGACACAAATTCACAATATCTTCCTTAATGTTGCTCATGTAAATGATACCTTTGTAAAACAAGCTAAACTAACGAATGGTCGCATACAATTCCTGGAATCTAAGTAAGATCGACCAAGACAGGTATGAAAAGTCGTATTAATATTATATAATTATATATATTATATAATTTATATAATATATATATATAATATTCAAGACGGGCTTTTGACTTTACCTCACTAACTCACGTTTACCTTTTTGTAGCCCTTGAACTTCAACGCACTTGTTTTAACTTTTGTTTTTAAAAAGTTATTCTCATGGATCACTGTGAAGTGTTATTTATAAATCCTCTGCAACTAATCTTTGTTTCCTATCTTTACTTTTATCATTGGGCCAGGAGGAAATAAGGATGGGTCGAAGTCTGGATTTTGTTGATTTCTCTGGTGGACTAAAATTAGGTAAACTGAGCTGAAAACTTTAAAATTGGATATACTTGCTCTTTCCCTCTCTTTAGGGATATCTCCATTTAAATAAATAGCGCGCAAAATTTTATTATTTCCCGGCTTCAGATTATGTTCGGGATTCTGCATACACCACTTTTCTGAATGCAAATAAAGATTAAAATAGTCATTAGATAATAAAAAGAGAAAATTAAGCATTGATCACGATATCCAAAATTCTAAAGTTGTCAACTCCGTGGTTTGAATCTTGTGATTAAGCATAATGCAAACTGTATACGGAATACGGATTGATATAATTTCTCTTAGATTTGCTGTGATTTAAAAATAAAATAAATATCTTGTCTGAGATGAATGAAAAGGGAAAAAGTTAAAAATAGAAAATCAGAAAATTAAAGAAAAGTTTGAACGAAGTTTGGAAATGGAAACCCTTAGATTCATTATAAATTCTCAAATCCATTTTAACTAAAGTCAACTCTGTTCACCCTTTGATCAGGCAGACAAAAAAATATTTTTATTTAACTTTATATCTACTGACTTCTCTGTCAAAAAATTGATTAGGGAGAATCATAGGTCGATAAATAAGTGTTGATCAAAGGGCGGAAATTACTTATTTCTCCTTAGCTGATCCGCTCTTTAACTTTCGAAAAACCAGTTTTTATTTTTCCCACATTTGTGGTGTCATATCAATTGGACTAATGATCGATTGAACGAACGTAAGTTTTAAATTAATGTTTATTAAGACAAACATTAAACAGGACTATAGTCCTCAAACTTGTTAAAATATGTTCATATGAACATGATTAAATTTATGTTTGTTTGCTTTAAAAGCCGGCTGTGAACAGCTGACTTTAGTTTGATCGAATATAAGTCCAATTGAACTACATGATTTTGAAAGAGCAAGATTCAAAAGTCTAGAATTTCATTCTTTGGATAGTATTTACAATAATCAAAATACATACCCCCCCCCTCACGATAAATGTAAAAAGTGTATTTTCTAGATGCTGCTCTTATTTATGATGGGGTTCATCTGCTTGCAGCAGCCCTAGGTCAACTCAGTAACGTTCAAGAATTACAGGTTAGATTATATAGCGCGCAGAAAACAGTTTTTTATGTTACGCGCAATCTACGGTCCCCTTTTCTGTCCTAGCGGCACTGCTCTGCCCTTAAACTGTCTTGAACTCATCCAGCCCAGAATTTTTGCTTACAATTATAAATTTTTGGTGTATCTTTCAAACCGCTACACTATAAAAACGCTACCCTATAAAAACGCTACCTTATACTAACGCTACCCTATAAAATTGCTACCCTATAAAAACGCTACCCTATAGAAACGCTACCTTATAAAAACGCTAACATAAAAAAACGCAACCCTTTAAAAACGCTACCCTACGAGGAGTTTTTAAAAATTGTATTAATTCCAATGAATTCTTTTTGAAATATTTTCACATGGTAAGAAAGATTGTTCAGAAAGAAATTTTTCATTCCCTCCCCCCCCCCTCAAAAATCATTATGAAATAAACAGTATATATAATGATCTATTTATACATTTTATACAGTTTGATTAATATAAATTAGAAAATTCAACAAAAATCCAAATAAATAGCTTTTTAAAGGAAAATTATACAACCATTTTATTCTTTAATAATACAAATCTGTTGTACAAAGAGTAACCTTTGATCATGATCTGAGTTTGTTTCTTTTTCAATCGTCTGACCACCTTTTTAACAAGATTTTTATTCTTATTTTCTTGTTATTTTTTTTTGGATTTTTATTACTGTTTTTAATGGCTATTAACAGAAAAAGAAAAGGTTCAACTCAGACCGAAATATAAAAAAAAATAAAAAATTGTATAAACTAATACTCAGTTTACTACTCATCATCACTAACCTAATGTATTTTTATAATTTGTTTAAGTTGCAAAGTTTAAGTTGTGAAGATAGTTCAACCCAATTTTGGAAACATGGATCTTCCATTGTAAACTACATGAGAGCTACTATTCTACCAGGAATTACAGGTAACCCTGCATTGTAAACTACATGAGAGCTACTATTCTACCAGGAATTACAGGTAACCCTGCATTGTAAACTACATGAGAGCTACAATTCGACCAGGGATTACAGGTAACCCTGCATTGTAAACTACATGAGAGCTACAATTCGACCAGGGATTACAGGTAACCTTGCATTTTCCTAGGGTTTGCGTAAAACTTGCTTATAGAAAGAGTTTAAACTGACTATACATGTAATACATAGAATAACTATTTAATATCCCCTTTTTTTGTATTTTTTGTTATTAAATCAATATTTTGTATTTTGAATCACAATTAAGCCTATTCAATGCTGGAAGGTGTTCCTGAGCGTATGTACAAATCTCTAAAATAGTGTTCTCTCAGAAACCGCGGATTCTTGATGTTGAAATAGAGATTCATTTCCACCGAAACAACATGTCCATTAATTTTCGCAATTTCTCGAAAACGTGCAAGGTTTTTCGGTAAAACTTTATTTCGATGGCATCCTTGGTTAAAAGTTTTGAAAATAAAATAAATTCAAATGGGTCTTGAAAATGTATATTTAAGTAGTTAATGTATTTTTTAGCGAAACGTATCAAAAGCGTGAAAATAAATTTATTCCGTTTTCCAGAAGGTGGTATTGATGTCATTGTTTGTGAAAAGAATTGAGTCTTTGCCACAAACTCAAATTTTATCATCCCCTTATTTGTGCAACCCGATAATTTACACCTTTTTACATTCCAAACTTATAATTATTTTATCTCACAGAATTCTTTTGTATGCAGTTAGCAAGTATTTTTTACGACAAATAGCTCTTAATGGCAACCCTTGTTCCAAGTATTAATAACACGAAGTACACTAAAAAAGATGATTTGTGTAAATTTTTGCATTTATTTGCCCCCCCCCCCTTTACAACTTTTCATATTTGCCTTTCAATGTCAAATTTTGTTTTCCAGAAAATGGCATTGATGTCATTGAAACCGAAATTTAAACAATTTAGAGAAATAACCTGAATGTTTTCTGACCTCGGACTTTCAGACCTAAAAATGATTTTGTGTAATAAAGGATGTTAACGATCGTTAACGAAGGGTCGTCGGTAACAATCGTCAAAAAATAAAAACGACCTGCTTTCGTTAATCGACGAACTTTCGTTTTTAAAAACGGTTGCTTTTCGTTTTTCTTTTTAAAAACAATAGTTTTTCAAGAAAGTGAAAACGATCCCTCCCTTATTGTGGCAGCACAGCACCGTTGAACCGTTTATTTGTATCAGGTCCTATAAGGTTTGATTCCTACGGACAGAGAACTGATTTCCAACTTGAAGTTCTTCAACTTCTGGAGGAACATGGAGTAGTCAAGGTAATATTTCATGTTTGATCATTTAAAAATGTATATTTTGTGTCCGAAATTATGTTTATTTGTAAAGACATATTTAGTGGACATGGATAACATTACAATCTATTTAAAAATGTTGCGCGCGTTAAGCAAAATTTTATTACAGAGGTGTCTTCAAGGTTTTACATTTAAATTTTTATTTTTTAATTTAGGGATTTTGTTGTGTAGAACTATTGTCGACAATTTAAAAAAGAAAGCATCTCGTTTCATGCGTGATAATAATTGAAATTTTCATATACAGGGTGTCCCACGGAACATGACAGTAGCAAGACGATTTGAAAGTCGTTTTTGATCCTTGGACATATTTGAGATATTTAGTTTTTTAACCTTCTTTCACATATATGATTCTTGAAATAAATACCACTAAATTCACTACCACTAGTTCTGGTGTTTTTAAAATGTGCTGTTAATATTACCAAAGATATTGAGAATTTCTTTTTTTTTAAATAAAACCAAAATTGTCGAAATCTGATCAAATTAAACATATTTCCGGTAATATTGACAGCACAAAAAAATTGTTAATGCCAAGACTAGGGGTATTTTATGACTATTCACTCAAAAATTTTACTTCAAAAATTTAGTGTACGAATCAATACAGTAAATGTAGGCACGAGACCAACTTTTAAAATCGCGATAGAATGTTAAATCTATATGTATATATATACTTTGTTTGTTTGTTTGTTTGTCAGTCCGTTTGTATCCAATAAACTTCAAAATGACTGAACCGATCGTGACAAAATTTTGGCCAAAATTTGCCTCCAACAAAATTTGATTTTTATTAAATTTTGAAATCCATCGATTTTTTAGAAAATCCGCAAACTTTTTTTCTGTTTTTGTTTTACAAAGAGAAAATGTTCACGATTGAAATAGAAGATGGGCGCAAAGCGCCCTTAAAGCCTAGTTATGGAACAGGGAATTTAAGGGTTTTAATTGTTTTGGTAGAAATTTGATTGTATTCAAAATAAAATTATCCTGCGTTAGTGTAGTAAAAAAGGTAATATTCTAGCATCTAATTCCCGGTCCAGTTTATGTGATGTAAACCTGACATTTATGGTTTTCATTTCGTAAAGATTTCCAGTGTATTCAATTTTTAAATAAAATTTCCGCAGAAAAATGTGATTCCTTAAATGCACTTGAAAGTAATGGAAAAATTTAATTTGTAATATTTTTAAATATTTCTATATTTCTAAACAAAATTTTAAGTAATTGATCGTATATAATTTATTGCGCAGTTTACAAAAAAGACCATTAAGTTATTAAAAGAGTTTAAAGAGAAGAAACCCACTTTTCTTTTGAATTTTCTTTTCTCAATAAATGTTTTTAATATTTTCCTTTCAAGGATTAAAGTACTTTATAGTTTCTAACCAAATAGTACGGATTGATGAAGTGTAGCAAATTGTAAATTCTAATTTCAGGGCGCTTCGCGCAAATCTTCGATTTCAGCTTTTAATTATCCCTCTAGAATTTTCTTTTTTAACAAAATAAAAAACGTTGTAGATATCCTCCAATGGATATTCCCATCATGCAAGCAGCCGTTAATAACAAAAAGTCCTCTATCTAATAAAAAGTTTAAGTATTTAATTCTAAAAAATAAAGATGTTAGTTAACGATTGCTATTTTGCAGTAAAAGTAAACGAAATTGCCCATCAATTATAATGGCTAAATTGGATTTTCATTTGTTTAACACTGAAAAATAAAAGTTCTTAGCTACCTGATGGTGATAAACTTTAATTGTTCAAACTAAGATTTTTTGATCCTAAAAAATTCATAGTTTGAAATTTCTATTACTTTAAAAATGCTTCCTGAGGTCATTATGAATTATATTAATAGATTTCAGCAAAATCAGTCATCTAATTATACCTCAAATAATTATTTCAATAGAATTGTACTTTCATAAAAAGCCATTAAATCTATTAATATTTGTTGAATCCTATAAATGCTGGGGGGTATGGGGGGCGTTTGGCGCCTAGAAAAAGACCTTAGAGAATAGGTATGGGTTGAAATGCATATTCATAGCCCAATTTTTCATAGCCAGCTCAAAGAAAATAAATTAGACCGATAACTTTAATAGTTTGGGTGCTAGGGAGGGTGGAAAAAAATGCCTTAGAAAGGGTCAAAAAAATTTTAGATATTTTTTGTTTTAAACAAATATCAATGTGTGACTGCAGCTTTAGTCAGAAAAAAGTTATGGGCTTTTTTAGATTTTTTTCACAGACCTGACTTTTTTCCGCCCTGTGCCCTACCCTATAAATAGAAAAAAATATTTTTAAAAAAAGCCTTTAAATAACTTCACAAAATTTCACGTTGATAGTGTCAAAAATGAGAGTGCTAGGACAAAAAACTTCAGAGGAGGGGGGCGCCAAACGCCTCCCCCCCCCCCAGCCTGTTTAGGGTTAATTCAATACCATTTTCTGGAAAAGCAACGTGTTTATTTAAAAATAAGCATCTGGAAAATATGCATATGTAAAAAATATTTATGATATCAATGTACAAAAATTCTGAGCCTTCTTATGATTAAATATTATTAACAATATGTTTAAACATGGTTATAACCATGGATTATGGCTATTTCATATGTAAATGTTTGCAATTTTGCAGCAAAGGGAACAAGGTTGTCAATTATATTTGCTAAATGGGATTTTCATTTGTTCAACATTAAAATATAAAAGTTCTTTCCTGAAATTCAAATAAACAAACAAACAGATATTAATACTTTACATATTTATCCGATCAAAACTCAGGAACCCCTCGAAAAAATACCTCAACTCGATAAAACCACGGAATAAAATATTTTTAACTTGGTTTAAACATTATAAATTAAGTAGATTGACTCCATGCCTGTAACCAGATTTTGACGAGGGGGGNAATTACATAGAATCTTTTTGGTTAAAATTGGACTTAAATATTTGGAATATGTTTAAAGTTAAAACAAGGACAAATAACTTGGCCGAGGGCTATAACTATGCTCTTGGGAGCAAATAAATAATCAGCAAACATCCTAATCCATATACATTAATATCAGTTATAAAGGATGAGTTAAATATTGCTGAAGATCAGGCTCTGGTAGAAGTTATGTGAAAAACTAAAAAAAAAATTTCTGTAAAATATAAAAAACTGCGTGAGCGGCAAGATAGTCTAATGAAGTCCTACAGTAAAGGAAATATTGAGCTTCTAGTTTATCAGCAAACAATGGGAAATGCTTGTATTCATAATGCAGATTTTAGATCTGATCTTGATCCTGATCCATATGGGTATGGAATTCCCGGTGTTCAAGATGATTTAGATGAAACAGATTCATTGAGCGATGAAAGTTTAAACCTTGAAAAAAGTTTTGATGGTTCCGAGTTAACTGTTTTTGATATGAATGACTCATTAAGTAAACCTGTTCAGTCAAAAGTTTCCTCTCCCATTAATAATCCACATAATCCTCTGCCCATATCTGTAAACAGTATTGTTTAATTCGCTCTGTTAATCGAGATCCTTATAGTGCTCCACTAACTCTTCTATGGTTTGAAGAAACATTTTTTCAATCTGGACATTATCAGTCCATTACTCCAACTGATTCCAGCATTATAATGAAGCATTACAATAGGATGAATAACTCAACATATCGATTGTTTGAGTCTCAGGTTGCCAGGATGACACTGAGATCTGTCAACTCAGATGTTGAGCAAATTCAACAGCCTGAGATATATAGTTTTGCAATTATGCAAGTAACTCCAACCTTGCCCCAGGAGAGATTAGATCAAAACAAACCATCGACCCAGTGCAGAACAAAAAGTGCACCTGCACCCTTGCACCCCCCCCCCTGGTTACGGGCCTGATTGACTCTAATAAAGAAAGTTTGGTGTGCAGGCAAAGCTGGGTTTCCTAGTTAGTACTTTATATAGATACTTGAAGTTTTTGTATTAAGGTTGGAAACTGGGTAGAAGGAGACGGATTTAATATAACTGGATATCATCTAGAATCTAAACCGGAACCGGAACAGTTTATACAATAAAATCATCAATTTTCTATAGTTTAAAAAAACATCTGGTCTATGTATTTCTTCTGTTTTGCTCATAAAGTGAATTTTAATTGTCATTATTTTTTACGTGGTTTTTTAAAATTTAAATTTTTGATGATGACATTTTTTTTAACACTAAAAACTTTTAAAAAATTGAGTCTTTGTCACAAACTCTGACTTTCTAATATGTATATATTTAGAACCCGATGTCATAGACCTTAGACATTTCAAACTTTGAATTCTGTTAGACCAAATAATCTAATTGTTTGTAATTTCAAAGGTTAACTCCATCAAGTTCTAAAGATTTAGGAATAAGAAAATTTGATTTTGTGGCTAAAAATCAATTCCTTTCTGGAAATGTTCAACAACAAAAAAATAAATAGAGCTGAAAACTTTAGAATAAGATATCCTTAATCCCGATTACATCCAAAGTATCCAATGGATTCTTGATTCTTGATTCTTGAGTTGATTCTTTTCTTAAATCCTCTTTTCTTGCATATAATAAAGAAAAATCAAAAAATGTTTTTTTTTAAATTAGAGAGTCCATCCCGTTTTTGTATATAATCTTAAATGGCGCGCAAAATTTCAAATTTATCGGCTTCATATACGCGACTCTGATTGGTTGAATTTTATACACTTTTCAGGATTCAAGTACAAGATTAGGTTAGTCTCGATATTAAGAAAAAGAGAGGATTAAGCATTAATCTCGATATCCACCATTCTAAAGTTTCAGCTCAGATTATATAAGAAAACTTCAGAACGGATTACACGATTTTACTTTTATCTTTAAATCTTTTTTATAATTTCTGTCTATTTCAACATTTTTATTGTAACTGATATTTGTAGAGTACAATTAATCCTATGTTTAACAAATCTCTTACTGTTACAACTATTTTTAATGATCCGTACACAATGCTTAAGGTAATTATTACAATTTAACAAAATTATAACAATATATTTTTTCTCATATATTTACAAAAAAATCTCATTATGATTTATTTATATTTTTTTAATGCATATTCAAAACCATTGTTATTAATAACAAATAAATCAAAAGTTTTCGGAACAGAAATACAAGATTATAAATATCAAATTAAGAGTCAATTAAACTTAAGTTTTTCATTGTTTTATATTATTTATTGACACATATACAAGGTTACCACAAAGCATAAAAAATCAATAAATAAATATAAATAACCCTCCATGCAAAGAGAACAATGTCCAATTCACAACCTGTTCCCTTGAAATCTGTATCTGATCAATATTGACAAATATCTGCAACATTCCATTATCAGAAAGTGAAGAATACGAAATTTAATGAATTCTTTCGATGTATGGCTTTTTTAGGGTTTAACAGTACAAAATTGTGCAAACGGAGATTTTTTTTATCTTTACCCAATTTACTCACTCCAGTTGGAAACTTTAGAAGCATATAAAATTCTAATTTTTAGATTTACAAGCCTAAAATTTGGCTCTTTTAATCTAAAATTGTACGTAGATTTTTTAATTGCTCTCAATCTTGAAAATCCTATTACACAAGAGTGTGTAGACCCTTATTCCCCGTTTTTTTTTTTGAGACACCTTGTACTTGGTCAGACAATGGTTGTTAGGGTACCATTGTGAATCGGGCATTACATGGTTGGTCACTTGAAATTACGCTTAAATATCCTTTAATGTAGGAGGACACAAAGCTTCTGGTCGGGAATGAAAGATATGAAGGTTTTATTCCTGATATGGTTCATATTCTCTCTACAATACTTCAGTTTAACTATACGCTAAGGTAACCAGCATTATAGTCCTAGATATGGTTCATATTCTCTCCACAATACTACAGTTTAACTATACACTAAGGTAACCAGTATATCAGCCCTAGATATGGTTCATATTCTCTCCACAATACTACATACAGTTTAACTATACACTAAGGTAACCAGAATTACAGTCCTAGATATGGTTCATATTCTCTCCACAATACTACAGTTTAACTATACACTAAGGTACCAGTATTACAGTCCTAGATATGGTTCATATTCTCTCCACAATACTACAGTTTAACTATACTCCCCGTCAGCATATTTAGGGTTTAACATTGTAACATTGTAGGATAGTGGAAGATGGACAGTATGGCAGTTATGATGCAAATACAGGAAGATGGAATGGAATGATAGGTAAGACTACTATTAAATAGAGATTGGCATAGTTTTGTGAACGAACAACATTATTTGTAAACGATGGCGTTGTTTAGAAAAAACGAACGATGGTCGTAAAAAGGATGAAAGTCGTTTAGGGGAATAAAAAGATATTGTTTTTTAAAGCACACGATTTTTTCAACAATTTTTTAAAATGATTTATAGTTTATGCTGATCAAACAAACAAAAACGCTTGGGTGTACATTTTGTTTTAAACGACATGGACACATGCAACATATAAACATACAGAAGCTGTCAACGAAAAGCTTCTCTTTATTTGCTTGCAAACTTGTAATTTTAAAAAAGCTTGTTAGAAATTTAAATTTTAATAGAAAATCCATCTTCATTATATTGATAAAAACGCCGACTACTGTAGTTTAAATAATTACCACCACATTTTGTGACAGGAAAAAGAAATTGGTTATATTTTATTTTTCTTGGTGTTCAAAACATATTACGCCGTTTCAAATCAAATGGTGTGTTTGATGAGAAAATATAAAAACAAGCTTTGATAAAGTTTGCGCAGTTCTGAGAACTGAAATCATTGTTTTCAACTTTTTTATTTTCTTTTGTCCTTGAAACATAACACTTCTAGGCAGTAGGGATGGGCATTTCTTTAGGATCCGTTTTAAAACATTTAAGATTCTTTACTTTAAAAGTACTCAACATTAATGCAATTGTAAAGAAAATTGCAAAATTATATTCTCAATAAGTTTCAAAAATGTGTTTTTCTTCTGAAAGTTCTTAACCAAAAAGATTATAATTTGCATGATATAATAAAAGCAAACCTATCTAAAATGCAATTTAGAAATAAGATATAAACCTCAAATTGCTGTAAAGGTTAGATATTCATTAAATTTACGATAAAAGAAAATTGAATATTTTAATAAATTTTGTTCAGTTTTGTTCATTCCTCTTCTTGATCCCTATAAATGAGCAAAAATGAAGGTTATATACACAACTGTCGTCGTATATATCTGTCCAATGAAGACGACTTTATATTTCAAATTATATTTATATCAAGCTTTTAAACAGCATGGCGGGATACAGATAATTATAGATAATTATAGATAATTATAGCTTATAATTATAAGCTGTCAATTAACACTTCTCTTTATTTACTTGAAAAAAAGCATTATAAAAATCTAAACTTAAATATAAAAGTCGTCTTTATTGTACTGATATAAACGCCGACCACCTTATTTTATTAACTGTATTTTTAGGGGAAGTTTTGACTGGTGAAGCTGACATGGTGGTTGCGGATTTGAGGTATTTCTTTTGGTATCTCCTATAATTTTTCAATGTAAAAAGAGCAAACAGATATACAGGGTGTCACAATAAACATGGGAATTAAGTAACAACTTTAATTTCGTCTTCGATCCATGTGGTATTTTTTCATAAACACAATTATTGCAGTATTCCAGTTTATACATACAAAATTGACGGATATATTTAAAATGTGTAACAAATTTCAATTTATTTAATGAATCTTAATTGTCTAGTGTCTAATATCTTCGTCAATTTACACAAGAAAGGTCTAGACCACTTTTTTATACTATATTTGCCATGCCTCAGAAATCAAAGACGACTTTAAATTCTTCTCTCAATTCCCATGTTTATTGGAACACCCTATAACATTCAACTTGAAAATTGACAAACATTTTTAATAGCTGGATGTTTATATTTATAGCTTGCAATGTCTAATGTTATTGTCATGAGAGCAAAACTTTTAAATCTTAAATCTTCATAGCTTAGACGTCCAGCCCATTCCTCCTAAATCTTAAAAGTTTACTAAAGCTAATCGCTGTCCCAAATAACAGTTTTGCATTCTGAGGTGTCAGTATGAATAAAATTTTGTTCTTATTATATTCAGAATAACAACCAGTAGAGCAGCTGCTGTAGAGTTTAGTATGCAATAGATATTCTAATTATATTCAGTATAACAACCAGTAGAGCAGCTGCTGTAGAGTTTAGTATGCCCTGGATATATCCTAATTATATTCAGAATAACAACCAGTAGAGCAGCTGCTGTAGAGTTTAGTATGCAATAGATATTCTAATTATATTCAGTATAACAACCAATAGAGCAGCTGCTGTAGAGTTTAGTATGCCCTGGATATATCCTAATTATATTCAGAATAACAACCAGTAGAGCAGCTGAAGTAGAGTCATAGAAAGTAGAATATATAGAGAGGAATTTACTGGAAAAAATTGTAAAACAGCCATTTTGTTGTACTGTTTCCAAACTGCAGGTGTACTTCTCATATTTATGCTATATAACCTGTTGGGCCCTGGAACATCATTTTATAGAAAATTCTAAAATTATTGTTAAAAGAAAACCAAATTATGAAATAGGCTGGCTTCATAATTGACCAATGATCATTTCACATAGACTCTATGCCTTCCACTTTACAAACGATGATTTTCCGTTATAACTATAAATCAAATGATTTTTTATTCACCTAATTCATTATAAAGTTTATTTAACAGTTTAAAAAATTCGAAATTGAAATGGATAGTCTAGGGAACATACTTATTAATGTACTGCATATAATTTGTGAACATTTAAATGATTTGTACACTTTGAACTCTCTTTCAGGCTGAAAGGGACTGAAAAAATTCATACCGAGAGATTCTTTTAATTCCTCTCTATATATTCTATTTTCTATGTGTAGAGTTTAGTATGCAATAGATATTCTAATTATATTTAGTATAACAACCAGTAGAGCAGCTGCAGTAGAGTTTAGTATGCCCTGGATATATCCTAATTATATTCAGAATAACAACCAGTAGAGCAGCTGCTGTAGAGTTTAGTATGCACTGGATATATCCTAATTGTATTCAGTATAACAACCAGTAGAGAGCAGCAGCTGTAGAGTTTAGTATGCCCTGGATATATCCTGTATTTAGTATAACAACCAGTAGAGCAGCTGCTGTAGAGTTTAGTATGCACTGGATATATCCTAATTATATTCAGAATAACAACCAGTAGAGCAGCACCTGTAGAGTTTAGTATGCACTGGATATCCTGTATTTAGTATAACAACCAGTAGAGCAGCTGCTGTAGAGTTTAGTATGCACTGGATATATCCTAATTATATTCAGAATAACAACCAGTAGAGCAGCACCTGTAGAGTTTAGTATGCACTGGATATATCCTAATTATATTCAGTATAACAACCAGTAGAGCAGCTGCTGTAGAGTTTAGTATGCCCTGGATGAATCTTGGAATATCAATCATCTATCAGAAACCAAAGGAAAATTCAAGAAAAAATTATAAACAGATTTTTTAATGGTTTTCTAAACCTAAATTAAACAGAATTATTTCTTAAATCGTTAACAAATGGTGCTGTTAACGGTTGTTGAAAATTCAAAACGTTAACCAATGGTAATTAAAAAAAAACATAGTAAATGTTGTTAACAAACCGATGTGCCGATCTTAACTTTAGAATTAATGGCCACTTGAAACTTTACTTTTTTTACAGTTGGAACTAACACTTAACAGAACGGCTCGAAAAATTTGGAACGTGCCCAGCCCTACCCATTTCCCCTAACAGAAGGACGTCAAGATCCTTAACATCCCTTGCGACAATTAAGTAACATAACAATATAATTCGTTTTTTGTGAAATTAGAATTTTATTTAATCATAACTCTTCACAACAGCTTTACAGGGAAGTGTTCCAAAGACCAATTTTGCCTACAAAACATTCCTCGCTGCTCTATGAATGTTTTGAAGGTATTATTGATCGTGGGAATACTTCCCTGTAAAGTTGTTGTGAAGAATTATAATTATAATAAATTATATATCTGACTTTTCAATTCAAAATTAACTGTAGAAATATTGTAAACAATGAACTGTAAATTACTTTTCTAGAGATTTCTTTCTTTTCATCAAGTTTCTCTCTGTTTGTTACACAATTTTTGTATTTTTCAATTTTGTGCAAAACTTCTTGAGAATTATTTCTAGAAAGCAGCGCCCAGTCTTCTCTCATTCATGCTTCCATTTAGGTAGGAGTCCCAAGGGAGATGTCAGGATAGGGGAGGAAGAGGGGGGGCAGGGTAACAGGGGAAGGGGGATAGAGGGAAGAAAGTAGGAGGGTGGGGCCCTGTAAAAATTTTTCAGAGGTGCACTTTTTCTTTTGAATAGATATATATGAAACTAAGAAAAATCCAAAATATTGTTTATTTTGGACCAATTTTTCCGGTGTCGCCGGAAAAAAACGTGATTTTTTGGCCATTTTTGAACTTTATGTATTTTATTTCTTAAAACTTTTATAAAATCCAAAGTTTTTGACTGAGAATCATGTTTTATATAATTTTGGAAATCTCAGATAATAGTCTAAAAGATAAAACCAACTAATACTAAATATTTTGAAAATTCATAGTTTTATAAGCAGTATAAGCCCAAAAATCATCGATTTTATTGATGCGCACTTGCACCTCACTAAAATACCCTTAGAACTGAACAAAAAAAATTTTGTTTTCATTTTATTTATTTTATACTTATTTTGAAATGTAATTTTTTTTAAATACCTTCAAAAATGGCCGATCAGTAAACAGTTCATAAACTCCGTTTTTTTTGAGTTTTTTTTAAATTGTAACTCTTATAATTTAACGACGTATTTTGACTTTTTGAACTTGTTCTTTTAAAATATTCATAAAATAATAGTTATTGATATATAAAGTTCTAAAATGCCCAAAAAATCACGTTTTTTTCCGGCGGCACCGGAAAAATTGGTCCAAAATAAAAAAAATATTTTGTATTTTTCCTAGTTTTATAAATATACCTGTCAAAAGAAAATTGCACCTCTGAACAATTTTTACGGGGCCGCCCTGGGGGGGGGGGGCGGAATGACAGGGGGGAGGAAAAAGGACAGATAAGTGGACGGATAGAATCATCCCATTAAATTTTTACTTGAAATTATCTAAAGAATTATTGAATTTTATGTGTTTACAAGAATTAACTATACATTCTAAATGTTGTATGTAAATGTCATTTAATATTATGTGTTCCAGTGATGGTGTCTGGATTGCTATGCTGGCAGCCTTTATATTGGTGGCATTCCTTACATTCTTTATAGGTATTTATTTCAATACTCATGTATATTTATGTCAACTGCATATTATATCTATATATTAATTTGGCTTGTCTGGGTGGCTGGGTGTCTGTTTGTAATATATGCCTACTTCGTAAAAGTCCTCAAAATGTATCTATCCAGGTACAATCCGTTCGCTAGCAAAGTCAACCAGGATAATTCTGTGAACTATCAATACCACTACCACTGGGTGCAGTCTTGTTAGCTATTGGTGTTAATACAAACAATAGCTATTAATTGAGCTCTATATGCCACACAGGGACACAAGCATAGATATCAAACAAGCTATTAATCGATCTCTAAATGTCACTCGGGGACACAAGTGTAGCTATCAAACAAGCTATTATTTGTGCTCTAAATGCCACACAGGGACACAAGCCTAGCTATCAAACAAGCTATTAATTGTGCTCTAAATGCCACACAGGGACACAAGCCTAGCTATCANAAATGTCGTATTCTTCACTTTCTGATAATGGAATCTTGCAGAGCTATAAAACAAGCTATTAATTGTGCTCTATGTAATACTTAAATGGCTCCTTGTAATACTTAAATGGCTTCTTGTAATACGTAAATTGGCTTATTGTAATTGCAGATTATACTTAAAAGTGTTTTCTAACAAGTAACAATACAGCAAGAAAATGTTCCTTTTATCAAATAGTCTTAAGAGAAAATGACGTCAAACTTCATTATCAAGCTTCTAAAAGGTATTGCAGACATACTGTTAAGCATGGCTCTCAATTTTTAAAATGGTATATTCTATTTAGAACTTTACCCTTACAAGCTTAAAAAGACATTTTTAATAGTGACTGTTTTATTCATTTTTGGGGTAATTCTTAAAATTAAATATTTTTCTAGCTAGAATAACGTCGATTTTTCCTTCACATTATTGATTTGACAAAGGTTTAAAGGGTAACATTGGAATGTTACATATTTCATTTTAAATTGAACATAAAATTTGAAAATAAAACGACAATCTCTTTAATGAGTTTAAAAATTATTACGCCGTCATCCGTTTGACGCCTTAATTAATACTACGCATTCTATTATATTATAAGCGCAGTTAGATTATGGTAGAGAAGATTAGAGTATTGGAATATAGGAATCCAATTAACAGTTCTGTCTGAATTCAAAAAAACCTTTTCTATAGCTATCTAACTATTCTATTCTGAACGCATGTACTCAACCCTAGTTCTTTAATCTGAATATCATGCTATAGGTAGATTTTCTCCGAATGAGTGGTTCAATCCGAATTTCTGTATTCTGGAACCCAAAGAAGTGGAAACTCAGTGGACCTTCTGGTAAAAAAACTGATTTTTTTGGGACAAACTCAAATTTTCTTATGCCTTAATCCCAAATCGTATCTAAGCAAACTTGCAATGTCCTGTTCATAAACTATTTATTCTGTAAGATCAGATCAAGGAGCATGTAATCAGGTTTGTCCTATACCACATGATTATACATGCTTTGCAGACGGGGTACTCCATTTGAGTTTTAAGGTCGTCTTTTAATTTTTTTATATTATAAAAGAAATTCGCTAGTATTGCTTATATTTCTTCAGCCTAATTTTTTCCCTGTTTAATGTATACAATAACCTATTCTGAATACATGTGTACGTGGTATTTGTACATCAGACAAATATTTCTTATTCAAATGAAGTACCGTAGCTGTAAAGGAAGTATAGTCCTACGGTAGGGCGGGCCGGGTCAATTACATCATTATAATTCCATGCTCCTTGAAACCTCCAATGCTTCAATAAATAAAAATTTACTACGGTTATTATTTAACAAAGCTATATACGGTATTTATCACATTTTCAGATTTTTAACTAAATTTCTGGAAACATATATCTAAATATTTTCTTAATGTCGACGTAATTTCAAGGACCGATTTACTACGATGGTTTATCAAAACACAAAAATGAGCAAGATATTTCCTTTTTTTTCTTAAAAAGTGTTAAATTCTTGACATTTTCCTTATTTTTATTTAATGCATCATTCAATTTCTAGAGAAAACATAAATGGAAATGATCAATTTTTAGAAAGAAAAATCGTCATAATTTATGCTACGGCGCAGGTTTCCAGCTCACTATATCAAACTTCTCAATACATGACAAAGCAAGTGACTTGAAATTACGTCATACACTCTGCAGTCCATTTAGACTGGTTGAATCACTTATGGCAACTTTTAACAAAGATTATTATGTATAACAATATCCCTTTGATAAACATTTCACAAATATATGTATTCTTTTTTATATTTATCAGTTGAAACGCAACAATCTTCTTATAACATTTTATTTATAAACAAATCGTTTTATGCTTTTATGCAATCATCAGTATGAATGGTTTGAGAATTTTTCACAGATGTTTTGCGGATTTTCACGAGATGTTAAATTCTTTTCCATTATATTGTTTCTTATGGTTTTCTTTTTTTATAACTATAAAATTATTGTAAAATACATTTGTTAGCAATTTTATCAAATTGAGACTTGAACAGTTTATTAGCAACTGTAAGCGTTAAGTCAAGTGATCCTCGATGCTAATTTGTCAATGCCTATCTGATTCACAACGGTATTATTGATATCTCTATCTGTGACCAATATTGTGGAACATATTGTCGGGGGTTAAAAGTGTTTAATTCTGATAATTCAGCATTAGAAATACACTAATCCCTTTTGTTTTTAAACTGCAATCTAAAATAATCAGCTTTCAAAATTAAAACCATTGATATTTAAATCATACTACTTAATATACAAGGCTTTTAAGAGTTACCGTTCTGATTTAAGCATTGCCATGTTTGCATGGAGGATCACTTGAAATCGCCCTTTTTAACAAAATCGTGCTTTTGTCCCGAAAGCGCTTATTGTCCTGAAATCGTGCTTATGTCCCGAAATCGCGCTTATAGTCCCTTTTTATTCCCTTTTTACAAATAATGCTTCTCCTTTTTATCATTTCTTTTTTTAAAGTAACAGTGTCTGGCACACTGTGGGAGCTCTAATGCAGGTAAAATAATTTACAACTTTTTTTATTTTCTGTATTTTTTTACAAAAATATCAAAAGAAGAAAATTTGAATGTGTTAAAATTAAGCTTGCTTGTACTCAAATATATCAAACATTAATAGTTTTAAGGGAAAATAACCGTAATTTTAAGTGACACAATTTATTGATAAATGGGCATGTCAAATTTTCAAGGGCACGCTTTGTTTGATCAAGTATGAATTAAATGCTTTTTTTGTTTTTGAAAACTCTAGATTTGTGAGTTCGCTACAAAAGTGACTTATACCCTATTCAGCCGACGTCTGATGCGCGAAATATGATAAATTATACAGTTTTGAAAACGGTGAATTCAAATGTGAAAAAATGTTTATATAATTTTAAAACCTAAATTTGCTTCCTTTTGTTGGAGTCTTTCCAAATAACTACAGTGAAACCCTTAATAAAGAATACATCGAAAGAATTCATCAAATGTCGTATTCTTCACTTTCTGATAATGGAATCTTGCAGATATTTAGTTTTTTAATTAAATGATTATATGGAACTCTTTAAAACTATTCCCGTTTATTCGTGGCTATTTATTTATTTTCGCAAACACTGAAATTTACGTAATATAGATAAAACTAATTGAAAAATTGTTAAGACGACATTTAATAAATTCTTCCGATGTATTCGTTATTAAGGGTTTCAATGTATATAAAGTCTAAATCCAATGACTGGAAGTAGGTCTACAAATAGATTTAGTCGGGTATAAGGCATTCAGACCGTATGCCTAAGGACTAAGGCAGTAGGTATAAAAGTTCCGCTTTGAGCATAAAGTGAGGGGCGTCAGGAGGGTCTCTAGGCCCCCCTTGGCCCCCAAGCCGGAATATGTTTAGGGTTTTTAAGGGTACTGTTGTAAATGTTTACCCTTTAAAAATGCAAATTGTTTTTTATTTTATTTTATTTTTTTCAGTCTCAAGGTTTTTTTCTTTAACTAGTTTGATTCCTTCTAAGTCATTTAATTTTGCCATTTAATTCTTTTAATATCTGTATTTCCTCTATTTACCTTTATGTAATTAATTAATTGATTTTTTAATCTTGCCTTGTTAATTACTTTTATAGCTTTTATTTATTTAATTCCCAATTATTACTTCCATTTTATCTCTTGAATCCATTTAATCCCGTTAATAATTTTGTATTATTTTAAGTATGGTTACTTTTACAAAACTTCCCTTTCTCTGAGTCAAAGCAGAATGTAGAACCTGGAGATTGGGGCAGTGCACCTTGGTACACTTCTCTCTGAGTCATAGCAGAATGCAGAACCTGGAGATTGAGGCAGTGCATCTGGGTGCATTTATTTCTGAGTCATAGCAGAATGTAGAACCTGGAGATTGAGGCAGTGCACCTTGGTGCACTTCTCTCTGAGTCATAGCAGAATGCAGAACCTGGAGATTGAGGCAGTGCATCTGGGTGCATTTCTTTCTGAGTCATAGCAGAATGTAGAACCAGGAAATTGAGGCATGCATCCGGGTGCACTTCTCTCTGAGTCATAGCAGAATGTAGAACCTCGATATTGAGGCAATGCATCTGGGTGTATTTCTTTCTGAGTAATAGCAGAATGTAGAACCAAGAGATTAAGGCATGCATCTGGGTGCATTTCTTTCTGAGTCATAGCAGAATGTAGAACCTGGAGATTAAGGCAGTTCTCAATAACCATTATAGCTGGGCAGAAAACCCGTAAACCTTTATTACCTCATTAGTGCACGGGCAGCCATTGTACATTTGAATTTCCGAGCCGGGTCAACCTTTCCTGTCCCAGTTTATACTGTATCGCCTGGACATTGTGTTAATAAAGCAGACACTCAATAGGACTAGCCGGTGCAACAAGGTTGACGCGGTCAGACTTTAGGTTGAATTTACTTTTAGTTAAGGGTAAGAGGTGGAATAGTGGTTTTCCCGAATACCATAGAGAGCTGAATAAATCAAGATTAACCATGTATGATGTATATTATTAATAAAAGTCTACACGATGACCAACTCTATTTATTAGTAAACCTGACATATATCCAGACTCCAGAGAGAGAAATTTGTAAAGGGATTTTTAAGAACACTGTGATCCAAGGTGAAGCTTTTACACAAACCCTACCCATGGATCCAGAAATCCCTAGGATTATATATACCTGGATTTGAGATAAGAACCCCTTTAATAACTTCAATTTTAATCCTTTTTATCCCTTCAATCCTTTAATTCTATTAATTCCTTTTATTCCTAAATTCTTCAATCCGTTTTTTATCCCTTTAATCACTTTTGTTACCTTAATAATTTTAATCCTTTTAATCCCTTTAAAAATTTTAATTCACTAATACCTTTAATCTCGTTAATCACGTTAATTTATTTATTTAATTTTTATTTAATTTTTTGTTCCTTTTAATCCCTTTAATCCCTTAAATATTTGTATGTTTAGCAAGGAACTGAGTTCTGCCCAGTAGCACTGTCCACCAGGTAGAAAATACTAATATTAACAACATTTTAACGAACCCTACACCCTGCACGTTTTTTAATCGTACAAGAAATAAACTGATTTTGTTCGTTCGCATTATTATCGTTCTTTTTCCATCTTTTTCGTTCGTTTTCCTACTAAACGATCGTTCAGTAAAATCGTTTGTTTAGTAAAATTGATTAATTAGTAAAATTGATTGTTTAGTAAAATTGATTGTTTGGTAAAATTGATTGTTTAGTAAAATTAATTGTTCAGTAAAATTAGTTGTTTTGTAAAATTGATTGTTTAGTAAAATTGATTGTTTAGTAAAATTGATTTTTTAGTAAAATTGATTGTTCAGTAAAATTAATTGTTTTGTAAAAGTGATTGTTTAGTAAAATTGATTGTTCAGTAAAATTAATTGTTTTAGTAAAATTGATTGTTTAGTAAAATTGATTGTTTAGTAAAATTGATTGATTAGTAAAATTGATTGTTTAGTAAAATTGATTGTTTAGTAAAAGTGATTGTTTAGTAAAATTGATTGTTCAGTAAAATTAATTGTTTTGTAAAATTGATTGTTTTGTAAAATTGATTGTTTAGTAAAATTGATTGTTTAGTAAATTTGTTTGTTTAGTAAAATTGATTGTTTAGTAAAATTGATTGTTTAGTAAAAAAGTTGGTTTAATATAAAAACTATGTCTCTTAAAGAGTTTATTCAAACGAATGATTTAATAATGTTTAGATTTCTTGTTGGTGTTTTCTACTTCTTTACTCTTATTATTGTTTCATCATATACAGGTTTATTTTCATAAAATTAATAATAATTATTATTATCTATACATATATCGACTAGCTGAAGTGAACGGCGTTGCCAATGTTACTCATAGTTACTCCCGCCGTTTACCCGCGCTTGGCATTTTTGCACATTAGATAAAAATCTAATATATTTCAAATCATAACTACTCTTATTGCAGAGCTATTTTTATAATTCGGTGATGGAGTTATAAAAATGAACACAAATGATTCTTAATGTAACTAAATACGCCTTTCTCAAACTTTTACGTAAAATATAAACTCTAGTTCACATATTTGTACTTGTGATGGCGCTTGATTCTTAACAAGTTTCTTTTTCCTAGTTCAGTGCTCTTTAATTCTTTAACCTTTATTCTAATCTTATATTATACTCTACTCTTTCTCGGTATATTATAGATTCTATCAACTAATTTTAACCAGCATTAAGTATTGACCTTTTCATCATTTATCTCTATCATTGTATTTCATGAGAAATAATTGATTGTTAAACACAAAGTACGTTTAAAGCAAGGTTTATAGATCTTAAGGTTAGTAAACTATAGATAAGCTCCAATGTACTTCGTCTTCCTAGCAAAAGAAAGACATTCAAAATCTATTCTAATTTAACGTGGTACAGTCCCTTTCAGTGCAAATTTAGTTTATTTTACCGTGCTACAGTCCCTTTAAGTGAAAATTTAGTTTAGTTTACCGTACTACAGTCCCTTTAAGTGAAAATTTACTTTAGTTTAACGTGCTACAGTCCCTTTAAGTGTAATTTTCTTTACTTTAAGGTGGTACAGTCCCTTTAAGTGTAATTTTCTTTAGTTTAACGTGCTACAGTCCCTTTAAGTGTAATTTACTTTAGTTTAACGTGCTACAGTCCCTTTAAGTGTAATTTTCTTTACTTTAAGGTGGTACAGTCCCTTTAAACCATTATAATTTCAGCCAACCTAGCAGCCTCGCTGACTGCTGAGATGCTGGAGAGGCCGATAGAAAATGCTGAGGATCTTGCAAAGCAGACCGAGGTCATATTCACAATTAAAATACCTCAAAACAAGTTGGATCAATTAGAATTTATATATATATGTATATGTATATATATATATATATATATTTCAAAAAACAATTACGACCAAGTAGATTATCAAGTACAATAGGTGGCAAAAGAGAAAAATATACCAATTATTCACGACGTCACATAGTATCAAATGTAATAAGGAACATCCATTAGTTTACATGTTTTCCAAGATTAAATAAAAAGGTGTAAAAACAGGCAATGAAGAACACATAACATTGTACTTATTTTACTGTAAGATAAGCACTTTATTCTAAGATAATCACTATTTCTAATAATTTTATCGGACACATAAACAGAGTTGACACTTGTGATGTCAGAAAACAGTTGTACTGAGAGTAAAAAAAATCTACGTTGCCATATTACTTACTGCTCGAGCTCGTGATAAACATGCATAATTAAAAAAAAATAATAGTTTACATATTTAGTATACAAATGCTTATTTTAGTAAGAAGCAAGAGGCAAAATTTTATTTCCAAACATTTTTAATCAAACTTTATTCTTCAGTTATGTGTGTGTAACAATTTTCATTTTAATCAACGAATGGTTACAAACTGTAACATTGTATTTAGATACATTTAATTAAAAAAGAAACTTATTATTTAAAGACAAATTAAATTAACATTTTGTTGTAAATTGTGTTTAATTTTATTTTTAATTTCTTTCAGTTTCCCTGTTGAAGGTTAGAAATTTCTGTTTTCATAAAATTCTTGGAATCTATCCTTACAATCTATTATCTCCAGGGTCCGATATGTAACGCGTCGGTATCCTGCAAAGCTTTGCAAGAAAAGGTTTAAATTAGAACTCCATGTTTTCGTTTTAGAAAAATATCTATTTTGATTTGTGGATTTTCTGCAAAAGTGAATTGCGTATTTCTTGCTTATAAGAAAGACTGAAAAAATGATCATTGATAAACACTTTTCGAGTCAGAAAAACATTTTTGATCAGGTTAAGTATTCAAGAATACCGTTGTAAACTGGGCATTGCCATCTTTGCATGGAAGGTCACTTGAAATTACGCTTACAGTCCTTAAAAAGGGAGTGTCTGCGAAAAATGAAAGGGGGTATAGGCTTAATGCGATAAAAAAGCGCTTTTGATCGCTACTAATTTTACTTCTATCTGTTGCGTCGATAAGGAGAAAATTGTTAAAGACGGTTCATACCGAAGAACTTAGCGTCCATACAAATTGAGAAGATTGCAACATACGACTTAGACCGTTAAAAATATAAATTTAAATTTATACAAATCATTCAGATATTACAACGTATAGTCTTCGATTATCTTGTTTTGAATTTGATTATTTCTCTTGTCGCTTGCGCAACTATCTAAGAATGCCGCACACCACTAGTGAAAAATGTGAGCTCACATTTTTCAAAATCCGTTAAAAACGTTTTCTAAAACAATAAAATATAAAAAAATATTATAAAATATAAACTATATACAAATGTGGCGAAAGATAATCGATGACTATAGGTTGTAATATCTGAATGATTTGTTTAAACTTAAATTGATTTTTTTACTGTCTAAGTCGCATGTTGCAATTTTCTCAATTTGTATGGGCGCTAAGTTCTTAGGTATGAGACGTCTTTAACAATTTTCTCCTTATAGACGCAACAGATAAAAGTAAGATTAGTAGCAATCAAAAGCGCTTTTTTATCGCATTAAGCCTATACCCCCTTGCATTTTTCGCGAACACTCCCTTTTAGAGTTCTTTATTTAGATAAAATATGGCGTTGTTTATTGTGGATCCACGTGTAACTTTTTCAAAACATCAACATTCAACACTTATAGGTTAATATATATTTATTGTTGTAGCACGAGGTGGAAGTACATATAGTCTATATATTGTTGTTACACAAGGTGGAAGTACATATATTATATATATTGTTGCAGCACAAGGTGGAAATATATATATATATTATATATTGTTGTAGCACAAGTTGGAAGTACATATATATTATAAATATTGTTGTAGCACAAGGTGGAAGTACATATATATTATATATATTGTTGTAGCACAAGGTGGAAGTACATATATATTATATATATTGTTGTAGCACAAGATTGAAGTACATATAGTATATATATTGTTGTAGCACAAGATGGAAGTACATATATATTACATATGTAGCACAAGATTGAAGTACATATATATTATATATATTGTTGTAGCACAAGATGGAAGTACATATATATTATATATATTGTTGTAGAACAATGTGGAAGTACATATATATTATATATATATTGTTGTAACACAAGGTGGAAGTACATAAATATTATATATATTGTTGTAGCACAAGGTGGAAGTACATATATAATATATATTGTTGTAGCACAAGGTGGAAGTACATATATTATATATATTGTTGTAGCACAAGGTAGAAGTGCATATTATATATATATTGTTGTAGCACAAGGTGGAAGTACATATATTATATATTGTTGCAGCACAAGGTGGAAGCACATATATATTATATATATTGTTGCAGCACAAGGTGGAAGTACATATATATTATATATATTGTTGTAGCACAAGATGGAAGCACATATATATTATATATATTGTTGTAGCACAAGATGGAAGTACATATATTATATATATTGTTGTAGCACAAGATGGAAGTACATATATATTATAAATATTGTTGTAGCACAAGGTGGAAGTACATATATATTATATATATTGTTGCAGCACAAGGTGGAAGCACATATATATTATATATATTGTTGCAGCACAAGGTGGAAGTACATATATATTATATATATTGTTGCAGCACAAGGTGGAAGTACATATATTATATATATTGTTGTAGCACAAGGTGGAAGTACATATATATTATATATATTGTTGTAGCACAAGATGGAAGTACATATATTATATATATTGTTGTAGCACAAGGTGGAAATATATATATTTTATATATATATTGTTGTAGAACAATGTGGAAGTACATATATATTATATATATTGTTGTAGCACAATGTGGAAGTACATATATAATATATATTGTTGTAGCACAAGGTGGAAGTACATATATATTTTATATATATATTGTTGTAGAACAATGTGGAAGTACATATATATTATATATATTGTTGTAGCACAAGGTGGAAGTACATATATATTATATATATTGTTGTAGCACAATGTGGAAGTACATATATAATATATATTGTTGTAGAACAATGTGGAAGTACATATATATTTTATATATTGTTGTAGCACAAGATGGAAGTACATATATAATATATATTGTTGTAGCACAATGTGGAAGTACATATATAATATATATTGTTGTAGCACAATGTGGAAGTTCATGTCTGACAATAAAGATGAAGTAATGGTTGGTTCTAACAAGGAGGGGGTAGAGAAGGTAATTTATTTTATTTTCTGTGTTCAGAACTTTAGTATTGTGAATCTTGGAATAAAGTATTAACTGGTTTATCCTCAATAATGAGCCTTAAATACGACATAACACACATTATTACTAACACTCTGAGTGTTGAACTTGAGCTGTAGCCTTGAATAAAGTCTTTTAGGGAATTATGAAGAAATTATCAAATAAATGAACTATTTTTCATCTGTAGGGAACCATGTATTTAAAGAAAAATACTGAATAAATTGTGCACAATCCTTTGAGTGTAACCCTGTATAATGATCTCTATTTTAAAAAGACTTCTGGATAAGTTTAAATCCTCTTAGATGTTCTCAGCAGTGATATTCAAACCATTTAAAGATTTCTCTAATTGAAGGATTAAACATTTATTCCTCATATCTTTAAGTGTCCAAGTGTCCACAATTGATGTTTTGATCAAGCGTTTAACCCTATGAAGGCTGGGGGTCTGAATCTATGAATAAATTGGGGGCGCCCCCCCCCCTCGTCCTAGAAAAAGGCCTTAGAGAATAGGTATTTGGTTGAAATGCATGTTAATAGCCCAATTTTTCAAGGCCAGCTCATTGAAAAAATTAGATTGATAACTTTTATAGTTTGGGGGCTAGGGAGGGTTGAAAAAAATGCCAAAAAATTGGTAAAAAAATGTTAAAAATATTTTTTGTTTTAAACAAATATGAAAGTGTGACACATGTTTCTATATCCATTTTTTTAGGGCTTTTTCACAAATATAGTTTTTAGATCTGTAGCTTTAGTCATGAAAAAGTTATGAGCTATTTTAGATTTTTTTTTACACAGACCGGACAATTTACTGCTCTGCACACTAAAAAAAAGTCAAAAAAATTAACGGTGATAGTGTCAAAAATTAGAGTGCTATAGGGCAAAAACCTAGTGGGGGCACCAAACGTCCTCTCCCCCCAGCATATTTAGCATCAAGATTTTTGATAATTTGTAGAAAAAATCCTCAGATTATCAATAAACATCTATCCAGCCAAATATACAATTGATTTCTTCAACATTATCTTTTTTCCCACTTTAAAACCATTCTTATGTTTGGTATCATTGATGAACTGAAGTAATTCCTATAAATTGATTAGGAAACATTTGAAAAACCCTCAAAGATGGCCGATGATAATTAGCTATATCAAACACGAAACAAACCAATTTAGCTTTCAAGTTGTTTTGTAAAAATACCATTTATTTCAATGTTAAAAGAAACCGTCAAAGTTAATCTTGAAAATTCGAAATTCTGAAAGACCAAAAATATCTAAATGCTGTTATTTTGATATGGGCGATCTTATTATGATTCTTTAATACAACAAACATTTTTAATAATTTAATTTTTTTAAATGAAACATTATTGTTTTAAAGGGACATACCGGCTATGTAAGGTAGTTGTACTGAGTATGCAATGTTGAGAAAAAAATTCTTCAAGATTCATTTGCGACATATAAAACTTTTCAAAGATCTGTAAATCCTGAGTTTGAGCGCAAAGTCGACGTTCAAAACTCCTACAGAATTTTTTTGTTTTAATTATTAATTAACGACAACAAAAAAATGTGAACAAAATTTTAAATTAAACCAATTATAGTTGTTTAGGAACAGGTGGAGAAAATAAAAATTAATCTTATCATAGAAAATAAGTAATCTTATTCAATTATTAGTTTCTAGTTTCTCATTATTCACAAAGATTTTCTACAGATTTTCTGGAATTATTATTGAAAAGACGACATTTGAAGAATTTGTAGAAATCTGCGAATAAATTCAAAGAAAGTAATGAATTCAATATAATGATGAAAACGAAATAATTGATTCTAGCATTGATTTATTGACAAATTTCTTTTGAGAAATATGTTCCTTAGCCTCTAATTAGTTTTCTGTATATTTACTTTATTTTTCGTCGTCGTTATTTAATAATTCAAAAAAACCTATTCTGAAACGTACCCTCCCAAATTCGCAATTTTGAACGTCGACTATGCACTCAAACTCAGTAATTATACATCGTGGAAAAATTGTATATGTCTCAAATGAATTCTAAAGAATTTTTCCACAACAATGCATACTCAGTTTAACTACCTTACATAGCCGAGCTGTCCCTTTGACGCTCGAACTTAAGTTGATCTAAAACAAAACGACGCCTTCCCTCCGTCACCAATTTATCTTATCGATTATTTGGAAGATAATGTTGTTTTCTAAACTGAAAAGTGTTTAATTCTTGAATATAATTCTTGCAATAAAGTGCAAAGTCATTATTATAACAAAACCACAACTTAAAATGATCAGTTTAAAGGGAGCGTTCGCGAAAAATGAAAGGGGGTATAGGCTTAATGCGATAAAAAAGCGCTTTTGATCGCTACTAATCTTACTTCTATCTGTTGCGTCTATAAGGAGAAAATTGTTAAAACCGACTTATTCCGAAGAACGTAACGTCAATACAAATGCAGAAAATTGCAACATATAACTCGGATCGTAAAAAAATCAATTTAATTCCAAACAAATCATTCAGTTATTACAACCGATAATCATCGATAATTTTTCGACGCATTTGTATTTAGTTGATATTTCATAATATTTTCTATTTTTTATGATCTGATAGTTACTTTTATTCCTGATCCGAGGATTTTTGATAATGAAGACGACATTTTCATATGTTACAGGAATTTTCGAAAATCCAGCGCCAGTGAAATTTTTTTTAAAAACGAAATCAAAATATTATAAAATATAAACTATGCACAAATGTGGCGAAAGATAATCGATGACTAAAGGTTGTAATATCTGAATGATTTGTTTGAAATTAAATTGATTTGCTTATGGTCTAAGTCGTATGTTGCAATTTTCTCAATTTGTATTGACGCTAAGTTATTCGGTATGAGACGTCTTTAACAATTTTTTCCTGATAGACGCAACAGATAGAAAATAAGATTAGTAGCGATCAAAAGCGCTTTTTTATCGCATTAAGCTTTCATTTTTCGCGAACACTCCCTTTAAAGAGTTCCGTTGTGAATACAACAATAAGCCATAAGCTTAGCATTGATAGTCTTTTGAAATGACGCTTACAGTCTGGGCTTATATGGGTTTATGTTTCTAAAATCTTAAATCAGGTTGAGGCAGGTGGGTATGCTTTTATGATGGAAGATGCTGGTATTCAATATATTGTGGAGAGAAGATGCTCATTAGGTTAGTCTTTATGTATTAGCATATATTACTAGATTTAACCCTGCAAACACTAATATTAGGTTAGTCTTTATATATATAAACATATATTACTTGATTTAACCCTGCAAACACTAATATTAGGTTAGTCTTTATTTATATAAATATATATTACTAGATTTAACCCTGCAAACACTAATGTTAGGTTAGTCTTTATATATTACTAGATTTAACCCTGCAAACACTAATGTTAGGTTAGTCTTTATATATATAAACATATATTACTAGATTTAACCCTGCAAACAATGATATTTTGTAGAATAATTTTTGTTTTTGACAAAAAATACCATGTTACATGTGGGGTTATATCCATTTTTGAAGGACTTTTTAAAAAGATAACTTTTAAATTATTTGCTAAAAAATCTAGAATTTATTATGAGAGTGCTATTATTAGACACTGGCTGATGTGCCCGGCGTTGCCTATGAAAAAAAGGAAAAAAAATTTAAAAAAAACTTCAAAATTTTAGCCTATGTTACCCCCAATTTGGTCCAGCTCTTTGCAGCTGCAGCTATAACTGACAGAGCTTTATTTGATACTAGCTGAAGGGTTCGGCGTTACCCTTGGAAATTTTTTTTTTTAATTTGAAAAAAAATCCATTTTTTCAGCATATAACACCTTCGGCCACCTATGAATGTCCACAAAAAAGTTCAGCCCAATCGGTCTAGCCGTTTGGCCGGCTATAAGCAACATACATATGAATGTCTTGTTTTTTTATATAGATAGTTAGATTTTACTCCACAATTTAATTATATTTGAAAATCCAGTTTACCGTAAAAATATGTGTAAAGCTTGACAAATCTATATATAAATTTGGCTTGTCTGTCTGTTTGTTTGTTTGTCTGTTTGGTGTCTGTCTGTTTGTATCCAATAAACGTCAAAACGGCTGAACCGATCAGGCCCAAATTTTTTGTGGGACATCTAGGGACCCAGGGAAGGTTTATGAAAAATCAAAATTTCAAATATTTGTCTCCATCAAAATTCGATCGTCATTAAATTCTTAAAAATTTTGAAAATCCGCGAAATTTTTTGTGAAAATCCGCGAATTATTTTTGTTTTGTTTTACGATGTACACAAAGAGAACATGTTCACAACTAATTTAGAAGATGGGCGCGAAGCGCCCTCTAAGGCTAGAAAGAAGGGCGCGAAGCGCCTTGAATTTCTAGTATTATAAAAAATTGTAATAAAAAAATTAGAGTTTGGAATGAGTTTAAAAATACGCTGAAGTTTCAGAGGAAGGAAGCAACATTTTTGAAAAATTTCATTTCGAACTTTTTTAATCTCTCTTTACAAAGACTTAAAAAGTTTTTAAACGGTTGAATTCATCAAACGTGAAAAGGTTCAATCAACTTTTCATAAAGATTTAGTTTGTCATGAAGTATTTCTAAACACTTGACGTTGGTATAAATCATACTGATCTTCAAACATATCAGTTCTGTAAGAGAAGATGAATGGTTTTATAATAATAATAATAATTGAATTTTTTATGATGTTTTTCTTCCCCTGTCTGAGAACAAGTAATAAAACCTCTGCAGATAATGGAATTTGTTTACTAAAAGGTCTTAAAATACAAATGCTAAACAGAAATTATATTAAATTCCATCTTCAGAGATAAACAGGAAAACAATGTATTAACCCTATTTCTCTAAAAAAAGAACAATTTTGAGTGGATCAGTCATTTTTTGGCTGAACGAACGAATTTCCAAAAGATTTTACCAAACTAAATATTATATATATATATATATGGACCTACAAAACCGGTTATTCGCTTTTAACAATATGTAGTTCAATGGAAAGCACATGTTAAAAGAAAGTGAAAAGCTCAAATTCTGCAAAAGCAAGTTTGCCCATTATTCAAAGTTAATTTGCAATTGAATGTGTGGCAAAGGCTTTTTAAATTACATCATTTTATTTTTGATATTCATGTAATTTTTGTTTTCCCACATGTTCGCTAGATTTGGATTTGGATCTTTAAAGTAAAGGAATTGAGTTTTTGTCACATACTCTGATTTTCTTATCAGCTTATATGTTTGCAAACTCAATGTCTGAAACCTTAGAATTTCAAACTATGAATCATTTTAGATCAAATAATAATAGTTTAAAATATCTAAGGTTTACACCATCAGGTTGCAAAGATATAGCGATAGTAAAATCAGAATCTGTGGCAAAAACTCAGTTCCTTTGTAAGTTTGTTTGGCAATATTTGAATTTGATCCTAGTTGCTTTCCAAAAATGTAGACAATATTTTAGGTTACTATATTCATTAAGAAAAAGATGAAGGGGGGGATTCCTGCAATATTTTGAATTTGATCCTAGTTGCTTTCCAAAAATGTAGACAATATTTTAGGTTACTATATTCATTAAGAAAAAGATGAAGGGGGGGATTCCTGCAATATTTATATGTGCTTTCTCATCGTAGTACAAATCAGATGAGAGTGTATGCATTTAAAACAGTGCTACATTCATCAATCTTAAGATAGGGTCGACTTTGAAGTGTCACAACGCTTTGAGCTTTGATATTACCTCTCTTAATCACGTATGCCTGTAGCTATTCTAATGTAGATTTTAACACTTTACAGCAATTGTTGCTAGCTTTGGTTTTTAAGAAGTAATTGGCAAAATTCTCATTAATTTTTTCTTTAGAGCTTGAGGCCTTTAAATCACACTGACCCTTCTTGATTCGGATCTGGTATCGGGTCTGACATTAAAACAATAATTGTAAGATCAATTTTGTAGGTCTACAACGTATCTATAAAGAACCCCTCAGTCCCTCTCATCAAACAATGTTTAAGGGTTAAATACTATAATATTTCAGCTCAAATTGGAGGAAATCTAGATACAAAAGGATACGGGATTGCTACAAGGTATTCTTTTTAATACGAAATTTAGTGCCCCAGCACCCTAGGTTCGGATGCAAAAAAAACATTTTCGTTTTCGTGAGAGTAAAGTTTAAACCACTGCCAACACTCTGCTAAAACCCAATTTTTTATAACTAAGTAAATAAAAGAAAATCTCAATCTAAAAATAACATTTAAAAAGTTTTAGGTTTATTTTAAAAATAATTGTTTGTTTTTCAATAATTAATTTAGCTTTCAAATGTTGATTTTTACATCACCGCTTTTTTAATCATCCTGGAATAAACAAAAATGTTATTTGTTAATTTTTAAAGACCTGGCTCTGGGTTCAAGGATCTTCTAGACAGCGCTATTCTCAAGATGCAGGTTTGCAACTTTTTAGTAATAATTTGACCTTTTAATATTATTATAAAGATTTATTCACACACAAATATATAAATACATATATAAATGGTGTAGTTTAAATTTGTTTAAATAAATTTTTGAAAATACAGGTTTCCAAAAGAAAAGAGAAAAATATGCAAAATTATGCACAAATAGACAATATTGATCATTACTCATGTTAAACACCTTAATGCTAGAGGTGAAACACCCCTTTCCAATAACTCTGAGAAGAGCACTTCCCATGACACAAGATCAAATTCCTTACTCAGATCCATCGCACAAGCATAAACTGCTCTACCAGCTCTGTTGTAATAATCCACTACAGAGTTGACTCTCCAAGCTGCACATTGTAGTACTGGCTAGCTTCTGAAAACCAAACTGAAGTTCATCAGTGGTCAGCTTATCAGAGTCTATAATTCATATCAACCATTAATTGTTACTTTTACTTTCTCAGTTTTTCCTTGTGTATATTACTAACCCTGGGACAGTTTGAATTTTTTTCAAAAATTACCAACACGCGGCAAAAATTGTTTTATTTAACTTACAAAAAAGCCATGTGAAATTTACTTTTTTTGATTTTTTTAAAAAATGTGTCAGCGCAAGCACAATCACTTAGGGAGATAGATTTTTCAATTTTTTCGAAACATGTCGATATGGGAACTAAAGTTGCGCCTCTAACCACTAAATATTGCCCTGTTGAATGTTGGTGGTTTTTTGAAATTGTGAAAGTTGGTTGATCTAGGGCCACAAATATATATATATTTTTGTAGGACTCGGGCAAATTTTCCCTAAAAAGTTGGTTTTTGCCGTTAGATTATTCCACTTTCGGAGAAAATTTTATGAATTGAACATTTTTGAATTCAGTGTTTCATAAAAAAATACATAAAAAAAAAATTTTTGAGGATTTTTCAGTTTTCACAAGTAAATTTTTAAACTTTAAAACGAATTCTATTTTTGAAGGCCAACCAATATTTTGTCCCACTGTAACACCTATACTTGGGTTTATCAAGGTATAATTTGGGCCAGATTCTAGATAATATGTATTTTTACATGTATATGTGTATGTTTATGTTTTTGTTTATATGTGTATGTTTCTAGATAATTTTTTATGTGTATATAGTTCTAAATTCTAGATAATATGTATGTGTATATGTGTATATTTATATGTGTAAATGGGGGTGTTTCTAGATAATATGGATGTGTATATGTGAATATGTGTATATGTGAATATGTGTATATGTATATGTGTATATGTATATGTGTATATGTTTATGTTCCTAGATAGGATGTATGCTTATAGTTCTAGATTCAAGATAATACGCATGTGTATAGTTCTAGATTCTAGATAATATGTATTTGTTCTAAGTGTATATGTGTTTGTATATAGTTCTCGATTTTCCTAGAATTATCTTTCAAGGTTTTATCTTTTCAGAAAGTTCAAAGTACCAAAATATTAAGAGCAACAGTGAGACGTAAATATAGTTTTAATCAAAGAATATTTTTTAATGAAAATCTAATATTTTTAATCAAAATCTAATATTTTTAATCAAAATATAATATTATTAATCAAAATATAAGAAATAAAAAAATTCGAAAGATTAATACATATATTTTTAGAACTATGTATATTTTATTTTGCTTCATTATTTTTTTACCGCTTTTTGACTAGCATTAGCGCTCTATCATTCACCTAAAAGAGGGAATTTAAGTTATTTAATGTTCCTTGGGAATATTAAGTAAAATAACTATCCCATCTACGGAGTTTTCGTGAACAAATTGTGTACAACTACTTATTCAATTAACTATAAATTTCACTTCCCTCGACCAAATTTGGTCTCAGGAAGCCAAATAAAATATCAAATATCAAATATCAAATAAAATTCCCTTGATTTCCCTGTAAAGTATAATTTTAAATAATAATTATGTGATCTTTTTTTTCTTAGGAAAATGGCGATTTTCACAAGTTAAAGAATAAATGGTGGAAGCAAAAGAGAGGTGGGGGACAGTGTTTACAATCTGCATCAGCCTCTGTTACCAAGGAACATCTAGATCATGAATGTTTCGTCATTGATTAGATTTTAAAATATCTCTTTTCTACATTTTCTTCAGCAGACACCATAGACTAGTCAGTAGACATATACAGACTGATAGGACAGGACTAAGTAGGCCTTTGGTCGTACCGCCACGGCATGCTATTTCTACAACCAGCTTTATGACTGCCATCTAACCGCCACTAATCGCATATAATACCTATTCAGGAGGCAAGTTTTACAATTTTCAGAGAAACATTTAAATTGTTAACATAAACCATTTATGAATTTAATCTATTTTCGTAGGTTTTACGTTTTGTACAGTGATAACCAGAAAACTCTGGATTAGGAAGTCGACTTTCTGACTCGATTTATGACTTTAAATATTCCAATGAACATGAGGCACAAATATTGTGCAGTGTAAAAAGACCCATTTTATGATTTATCAACTGTCTAGTTCAGGTACTTGCTTTGTAACAACAGTAACTGCACTTCTGTCTAGCTTTAATGTCGTCTACATATTCCACAGTTTTCTGGTTATCACTGTATCAATGGGATCCTTAAATATCCCTAAATTAGATGTTTGCTAATTGGTCGTGTACTCCAGTTGTACAAACTAGAAGGCGCTGTAGAAAATGTATCATATTTTCGCCTTTAGTATATATCTCTGTACTATCTTATTTTCGGCAGAAACCATATATGATTAAATACACAATTCTTTAGATTTATTACTTCGTTTGCTTCAGGAGAAACCATATTTGATTAATACACAATTCTTTAGATTCATTACTTCGTTTGATTAAATCCTCTCTTCTAAAGATTTATAATTTTGGTTTTATTGTTAATTTGACAGAACTAACTTAACCCTATCCCTACTGGGGTACATGAAAACTAGGATACGCTGGGGGGGGGGGCATCCAAATATGAAAAATTATATATCATTGGAAAGAAAAAAATTTTAAAGTTTTATATGAAAATCTATTGTTTCTATCCTTAAAACGTCAAAAATTAAGCAATATTTTTGATATTTTAACCTTTAATCTTTATCATTTTAAAATTTAAATTAATATTAGGAGATTAAAAGTATTTTAGCCAAAATATGTTAACTAAGAATTATGAACAATCTACCTCCTGTATTTATCTAATTTCAAATAAAATTTTCAAAATTGAAAAATTGTAATTCTTACATTTGTTAAAAAAAACAAATTGGGATTCCCAAAACCTAAATTTGAAATTAGCAGTCGGGATTAAAATTTATCCATTCAAAAGTTCCCAGTTCTGTTTAATTTACCGATTTGGATTAAGATATCTCGTTCTAAAGGTTTTAGTTCAGATTGCACAAGTTCAAATGAAAATAAGTTGCATAACGTTTTGCAAAGACACCATTAAAGTGGATTGGCACCCATTGTCTCTTTTTATTTATTAAAAAAAGGATGTTTAGCAAATTTATTTCACAAACTCTTTTTTCATGTTTGGCATTTTTTGATTTCGCATTAAATGTTTTGATTTTTGCAATTCAAACATTTAATGCGAAATCCCCAGGTTGTGGAAAAAGAAGGATTACTGAATCTCATTCATTAATTTTTTTAAAATTTAAATCCAAGATATTTTGCAAATTAAGTCTTACTATTGTTGTCGGTCTTACTGTACCAGGTCCAGATGAAAGTCTTTTCGTGACCTTGTGATGTTTATTAGTTGGATTTGGCCAATCTAGGAGGTATCTTCCTTGTAACTCTACTTGGATGTGGATTAGCAGGTTGTTTGCATTTTCTTTATTAAATGGACTGTTCTTGTGATTTACAACGGTACTCTCAAACGCTTTTTCTGATTAAAAATAATAAGCATGGTTGTAATTTTAAATAATGATTTCAAATTGTGTTTTATAAACAAAACTGACATGCGCATTTCTAATGCAGGAGAAATTATCTTGGAAATATCAGATTTAAACACTTCTTAACCTAGAAAAACACAATATCTTCCGCATCATTGTGAATCTGTACAATGAAGGTTACTTGAAATGTTGCCTCCAAACCCTATAATGGAACAGTTGCCGTGATGTCAACGGAATCTTTATTGTAAGAGATATTTGCACAATTTATTTGAAGTTAAAGATAAAAAATTATATATCCATCGTCTTTAATCAGATCAAGAAGTTAAGAGTATACTGTCAACTCAATCTTTATTTTAAGAGTTATATGCACATTACATTATTCATAATCTTTATACCTTTACAGTTGATACGTTTTGTAAAATATAGAAGTTATAGATAAACAAGGATATATCCATCATTTTTAATCAGATTAAGAGATTAATAGTACTGAGGCCAAATTTAAAGAATTTGAGCCGAAGTTTAAATTTAAGCTGCGACTCAAAGTTTGTTGGTTCCACTTAGTATTGTATTAAATTTTTCAAGATTTAAGCCGGCGCTCATTTGAAACCGGTTTTTGGGGGATTTGAGACGCGGCTTAAATACATTAAATTCAGACACTGTTGTGAATCTAAATAAATGTTCAATCATATTCATGTTTAATGTTTTTTAATAGCATCGAAGGTTTTTGTTATTGGGGGTTTCAATGAATAATTGTTTAACCTCGAAGAAAATATTTCGCATTTCTTACAAAAATTTTTGCTTTTTCAATACAGGTTTTCCCAAAAACTTTGTAGTATGGTATTGGGTAAAAAGAAACAATATTCGATTAATTTTCACAAAAAATTCAACTTTTTAAAATTTTTAGATTTTTGACTAATGTTCTCAAAGAAGGGGGTAAAACAAAAAAGTATGTATGTGAAAAATTAACGAAAATCGTTCCCTCAGTAGGCCCAATACCCCAACTGCAAATTTTTGTGTGACAACGTATACATATTATAGATTTTGTCTGTTTTATAAATGTTTTTCTTCATATTAAAAAATACATAGAGATAACTAGACAAATTTGAATTTAACAAATTAATTAATTAAATATCTAGGCTTGGTTTGCATTCTTGAGCTTATCTGGGGCTGCTATCAAGATTCCCAGGCATCTCAGATCTAAGATGATTTTTTTCATATTTTAACTCTTTATTTGTCATGGGGACTTTCCGGGTACGTCTTTGTGAAATGGACAATTTTACCCTAGAATAAAAAACTATTAACTTAAAGGGACTGTAAGCGTAACTTCATGTAACCCTACATTGGTACCCTTGAAACCTTTATCTGATGAAAAAGGGGGTAGCTAAAGTTGTTTATTTAAACTTTCAAAAAGTGTTTATTTCTGAGAGTTTCTCCATTGCTTCTTAGAAGCAAGAAATACACAAGTCACTTTCGCAACTGAAACTGCTAACGAAAATGAACAGTTTAATGAAACAAAAACATGGATACCTAATTCATCCTTAATTAGACAAAGCCTTTAAGGATACTGTTGTAAATCGGGCATTGTTATCTGTGCATGGAAGGTCACTTGAAATTACGCTTACAGTCCCTTTAAGTTGTTTTTTATTCTAGGGTATAATTTTCCATTTTATGCTTATTTTGCCTGCAGACATGCACTTCATTTTGGTGAGTGGAGTTAGAGGGTAATCTTCTAATCTTTAGATTCGGTTTAATGCTTCTGTCAGGGAAGAGTAGGACTAAACAGATTAAAAGAATAAATGTAAATGTTAAAGGGATCCTTCATTGATAAACAAACAAGTTCGATTAAAAAGGTATCTTTAAATGCTTTGTCTGATCTATTTTGGTTTTTCAAAAATTTTTATTTTATTTGTGGTTTTTCTGCCACAATACCGTTGTAAAACGGACATTTCCCTTTTTGCATGCATGGGGTCATTTTTTAAAGATCTTACAAAGCACGATTTTGTTTATCAAAGACCTGACCTTAATTATTACTGTTCTGAACCTATATTAATCTGTATAAAGTTGTAATCTCTGCTTGTCTGTCTGTTTGTATGTCCAACCCTAACTCATGTAACTTCTAACCGATTTCCTTCAAAGGAATTGATTCTTTGCCACAAACTCAGATTTTCTAATCCCTATATCTTTCGAACCAAATGTCGTAAACCTTTGATATTTCAAACTTAAATTATTTGATCTAAAAGAAGTCATAGTTTAAAATGTCAAAGGTCTACGACGTTGGAATCCAAAGATATAGGGATTAGAAAATCAGAGTTCGTGGCAAAGACTCAATTCCTTTGTATCGGGGAACTCGGGAGAACTACAGAAATTTTCTTAGCATAGTTTTCAGATTTTGCGTTAAGTGGGTTAACCTTTTTAGGGAAAGACTGCTAAAATCGTATTTTACGACTAAGCGCGGGTAAACGGGTAAACGGCAGGAGTAACTAAAAGATTCTCCTGGGCAACGCTGGGTTCCCAAGCTAGAACATTATGTAATTCATCTGAGATGTGAGAAAATATTCAGGAGTTTGGAACACCTTGGGGATTCGAGATCAAACAAAGAATTGAGTTTGCATACAGGTCCCTGGTCCAGTTAGAAATTAATATTTATAAAAAATATGCTTTAAATTTTTTAGCTATAGTAACACGTAGTACAAAAAACTACGTTTGACGGGTGAAAAAGCAATAAATAGAGCCGAGTACATTTTCGAATATTAGGCCTAATTTTGAAGGTTAAAACGGCATTTCAGAGAAAAATATTTTATCGACAACCTCTTCATTTATGAGAATTATACCAATTAGAAGCACTTTTAACTCTATACAACGATGTTAACGAGGCTAAAAAGTCTACTCTGAACGCTCTGTTTTCAAAGACACCTTGTAGATCAAAAATTCAATTCATAAGAATGTTGTACAGAAAGTAGTTTTTTATTTAAAAAAATATCAACATTGATTGACTGCTCATCATGTTATGCATGCCCATCACTACGATAGATAAACTCTAAACAGAGTGGTCTAGGTTTTTTGAGAATTTGAACACAAGGATAGTTTTTATTACTGATTTTTTAAACAAGTTTTTTTGTTTAGATGTTCTAGCTTTGGAAGGAAAGGCAGAATGGCGAGCATGCGGTATAAGGTATCAATAGTATTATGTATTTTTTACCCTAAACATTTTACAGTTCTTTACAACATTCAAAATCTTATGATTGATGAAAAACTTTTATAATGTTATATTATTTTTATTATTTAATGGTACTTTTTCTGAAATATTTTCGAAAATGATAACAGAGTTAAGTAATTTTTTATAACAATAAAGCTCTTCGCTCATATGTTAGTTTTAGCTAACCAAACGGCAGGACCAAATTTGTTGAGGGAACCCATGGGTACTCTGAGGGACCATAGGCGAAAAAAAATCGGGTTTTTATTCTTCAAAAGTCAAGATTTTTCTAAACATCAAAGTTTTTTCTTCCAAAAATTAATTCTAAAAATATATTTCACTGGCAACGCTAGGCACATTAGCTAGTATATTCTTTTAAATTTATGTAATTGGTATGAGTTTTGACGATGAAAGCTTTATAGTGATAAATATACTAATATAATAATATACTAATATTACCTGCTTCAGTAGATACATCTATTAGAATAGAAATATGGGATTACCGCTTAATAAGAAAAAATGATATATAATAATACTGTTTCAATATAATGGAATACACCACAAAAAACATATAAATTTTCTTTCATATTCCCAAACTTTTTTCATGCATGATCTATTTGATCTACTTGAGGTTTATAAATAAGAACTAAACATTTAAATCTTTAAAAAAAAACAATCTGAATTTGTGCATGCGGAGTACATACCGGTTAAAAGGTAAGGTTTTTAAACTATTGATTTAAGGCTTAAGCTTGATGCATTGACACTATCCTATCTATTTTGGAAACTAAATTTTCTTATAAAGCCAACCCAATTAACTTTAACTGTTAAACCAAGCTATAATGCATCTTAGGGGTTCCATCAAGTTCCCCAATTTAAATGTGAGGCAAATCGGTCTTGGGGGTCATGAGTTATGATTGGACATACAAAGTAACATATACCAAAACAAAAATTACTACTTTATACCTGTGCTATGATGCTATCTTTTGAAGACAGGTTTACCTGGAAACTAAAGTTTCTCTTTGAAATGCAACCCATTCAACATAGAATGTTAAATCAAATTAGGTTCTACCGAGTTCCCCAATCTAAGTTTGAGGCCAAAAAATCAGTTATTGAATATAATTTTTTTCGTAGTGTAGGGTTGAAAACAAAATACATGATCATTTTATAACTAGCTATTTAGATTGAATCTCGAATTTTCTTACATGATCATCTTATATCTATTTAGAATGAATCCCGAATTTTCTTACATGATCATCTTATAACTATTTAGAATGAATCCTGAATTTTCTTACATGATCATCTTATAACTATTTAGAATGAATCCCGAATGACGAGTGAAGGATTAAGTGAATCCTCTATTGATGAACCGCCAAAGAGTAAGTAAACATAGATTTTTATTATATAATTCAAAGATTAATTAACAATACAGATAGGACACTTTTTGTCGTCTTTTCAAGATTTAGGGGTTTTTCGTTCACAATAACCCTAAGGCATAAGCCCAAAGGAGTTCCGCGCAGGCAGCGTTGAATTACAAGACAGAAAGCGAGAAAACTTGTGCGTAACTCCTTTAGGCTTCTGCCTCAGGGATTTTTGTGAACGAAAAATCCCTTTAAATCTTAAAAAGACGACATCTAGTTTCCTATCTGATATTGTTAATTAATCTATGATAGAATTGTTAAATTGTTTCAAATTCAACTTGATCTGAAATGACCATCATTTTAAGAAGGGCATCGTCGATTCACAATGAAACTTGTTAAACCTTTATAAGCGCATGGGCATTATATAGATATCGTTTTACTACGTAAAAACATGAGACTTGTGGGTTTTGAAAGATGATGTTAAGGGAAGTAAAATACAGAAGTTACCCATTTTCTAGCAATACTAAAACTATTCTTAAACACACACTTTTATTTTTGATTAATCTGAATCAATCAGAGCTGAAAACTTTAGAATAGTGGATATCGAGATTAATGCTTGATCCTCTCTTTTTCTTAATCTCGAGACTAACCTAATCTTATACTTGTATCCTAAAAAGTGTATAAAATTCAACCAATCAGAGTCGCGTATATGAAGCCGATAAATTTGAAAAGATTAATATACAGAAACAGGAGGGACTCTCTAATTTTAAAAACCGGTTTTTAATTTTTCTCTACTATATCCAAGAAAGAACGGTTTAAGAAGCAAATCAAAAGTATGTCCATTGGATACTCAGATTAAGTAATCGGGAGGATATCTCATTCTAAAGTTTTCAGCTCAGTTTATTTTGCATTGAAGTAAACTTCAGCATTTTATTTTCAGCTGGTGGCGTGAAGCGAAGAAATTCCTATCATATTCATTATCCTGGCTGGTAGTCATAGTCCTTAGGACTATAGTATGTTACTTATAAAGTCCTTTTTCCTCGTACTTTGTAATTAACGAGATGTTCGCGGACTTTTCTGTTTTGATCGGTAGATTTTTTTTAAAAGTCGACGATTTTTTCTCAGGATCAGTTTTTCAAATCTCGACAGAGATAATACCAAGTCAAGAAATATATATTCACAGGTTGTTTGATTTATGTGTTAAAGTAGTAGAACAAAATAAATTATTGATCATGCTAAATCTATAAATTTAATAAAATAATTTTTCTTATCTAATTGAATTTTAAATGTATTTTTTGATGGAGTGTTGTTTTGATATGAACAGATAATGCCGAGATTTTAAATGTAAAAATATGATACCGTCATACAACCAGAAAACTCCGAAAAAGTAAGATGGCTTTAAAGCAATACGTAAGTGTATTTGATGTTGTTATAAAGCAAATAATTTTACTAGACACTTACTAAATCACAAGTCAAGTCAAGTGGGTCTATTTACACTAAACAATTTCTGTTTCCCGTGCTCATTAGACTATCTAAAGTCATAATTTAAGTTTAAAAGTCGTCTTCCTATTCTGAGTGTTCTGGTTATCGCTGTAGTATTAACGCAATTCACGATCTTTGAATAGCCCTGGGAGATTCAAGCCTTTAAGAGTTTAAAATCTAAGTCGATCGGTTTTTACTAAATCCAAGACGAAGTTTTACTCGAGTTTAAGCATTTAAAACCTATAGTTTCAGTAGAAGTAAATATTTCCATTTACTAATAGCGCCGATTGAAGGATTTATAACTCTGATTGGATAATTCGAGATAGATAGAAAGATGGATGTTACCGCCATACTATTTTTGTTGGTTCAGAATAGACAACAAACACATGACTGAACCATAGACAATAGAATATATAGAGAGGAATTTACTAGAAAAAAGTGTAAAACGACCATTTTGTTGTACTGTTTCCATACTGCAGGTGTACTTCACATATTTATGCTATATAACCTGTTGGGCCCTGGAATATCGTTTTATAGAAATCTAAAATTATTGTTAAAAGAACACCAAATTATGAAATAGGCTGGTTTCATAGTTGACCAATGATCATTTCACCTAGACTCTATGCCTTCCACTTTACAAACGAGGATTTTCCGTTATACCTATAAATCAAATGATGTTTTTATTCACCTAGTTCATTATAAAGTTTATTTAACAGTTTAAAAAATTCGAAATTAAAATGGATAGTATAGGAAACATACTGTATTAATGTACTCTACTGCATATAATTTGTGCACATTTAGATGATTTGTACACTTTCAGGCTGAAAGGGACTGAAAAAATTCATACCGAGAGATTCTTTTAATTCCTCTCTATATATTCTATTCTCTATGGACTGAACCCTGATTGGATCTGGCACAAATGGACTCGGCATATAGGAGTGCTCTGATGTTTAAGACCTTAAATTTGTGAAGCTATAGTAAACATTATGGTATAACATATGAAATGTTCAGGGGTCAAATGTTTATCTGAATTAACAAAGTGAATGTTTGTGTATAAAGGTCTTTGAATGCTGTCATTTTTATTTCAAGATGCTTTTTTAAACCATGCCTAAAAGATACGCATTGTCAGAAGGATATAAATTTATATAGTGATGAATTTTCTGTATTGATCTGAGTTTTGGACTAGCATTTTAATAAATATGAGCAGTAATCATAAACTTCAATTAAAAAATAATCAAAAATTAATCTTTATTACTTTTAACTTGGGTAATCATTCAATTTAAAAATCATTAATCATCAAAAAAACATATTTTTGCGAAGCCACTTACGTATTTTCCTTAATTATAAGCATTTGTTGGATGTGTACAACTACAAGAGGAAGGATATCTTTTTATATTTTTTTTTAAGATTAGGCCACTAGCGGAACCGGAAAGAACAACGAGATGTTTTATTTAATTTTGAGATAATATTTTTCCCGCATTTATACTGATTTGTTTCTAATTTTTGCTAAGGCAAATAAATAACATTTTATAGGCATATTTCCTTTTCTAATTCACGGATTTTTATAAACCAAATCGTTCATTTTTATAGAACTTGAATTTAATCAAATTTAAATATCCAACCGTCTTATGTTATCATTTTAGAAAATACACTAAGGGTATGAAACAGGAGAGAAAGGGAACAGCAGGGGACAGGGCTCGGATATTCAGGACTTCTGGGAAAACCCACGGGAGAGGTTCGAACAATTCGTATCGATCTTCAAAAGCAAAGGCTTTGAACTCAAATCTTGTGATTTTTATTTTTAATTGAAGCTTATGCTGAAATAAACTCGGGAATACATGACCAAAGATAATATATATATAGATATGCAGGCAGGTAGAAACCTCCTTCCTAAATTGCTTGTAGCAGACAACTAATTTTTGAACCTCTGAGAAAAGGTGCAAGGAGAGACATCTATAGCAAATTGATTACTTTCTATATTCCTTTCTCCCCTTGCTGCCATCTGTAAGAAATACGCATTTGTGTTATATAAACATACAGTACGCGTATTGCATCCTGTATAGTTCAAGTGTTGCTATCTGGACCTGTTTGACCAAGAAAATTAAATTTCAAGGTAACACAAACATACAGTACGCGTTTTGTTTATGTTATGATCAGTTGTACTTAGTAAAGATATAGTAGACAAACAGAAATATTGACAAACCTTTGGAAATTATTTTATATTTGTTAAATAAGTGATATCTATTTAATCAAACGGTTTTTATGAGATATTTAAATAAAATTAGATTTTTTAATTGGTACCACAATATGCAATTAAGATGTTGGGGTTGATGGTTTAAAGAATTATTAAAATTATTGTTTTTTATACATGAATTCTAGTAAACAAGGCAAATAAATTGCAACATTTTTTTGGGAGGACTTTGTCCTAGATTCGATGTACTTTACTATAGTACGCATTTAGTGTTATCACGCATAAACAAAGTGATAAATTAGCAAAAATCCAGAGGATAAAATGCCATGCGTACGACAGAGATGGTGCTGTTTGCACCTTTTCTCAAGACCTCAAAATTTATACCTGCCTGCATATCTATATATATATTATCTTTGTACATGACAGGGTGATCAGATAATTGATTTAGAGAAAATCAAATAATTTTCAAGAAAACTTTTCTATAATGATGTTCCAGGGCCCAAAAGGTTGTATAGCACAAATATGTAAAGTTCACCTGCAATATGGAAACATTACAACAAAATGGACGTTTTACACTTTTTCGAGTAAATTCCACTCTATGTATAATCTATTCTCTTTGATTCTTACTTTATTATTAATGAAACAATGCTTTTAAGGGTATTAAAAGCATTAAGAAACAATATCCAAATGGCATAAAAGGAAAATAAATATGATGATTTTTAATGCTTTTTTGAAATTTATTTTATTTCAAAATTTCAATTTCATCATATGTTTGTCATATTTATTAGGATTGTTGTCACACACTCTCAACCCCACCCCACATCTGATATCATATAAATATTTAAAGATATCGTAAAATTTGATTAAAATTAATTAAATTTAGTTTTTTTGACATGACATTTTTATCATCCAACATGATATGGTAAAACTACGAGTTAAAAGAATAAAACTTTTGAACTTTGCATATTTTAAAAATTTTTATTTGTGACAAAACGGTGTTCTTTAATAAATTATTGCAAGAATTTATTTTAAATCAAGTTTCGAGTTATAAATGTAAAAAATATAATTTTTCCGTTTTTATAGAATTTTTTTTTTATAACAGGCATAACTTTCAAGATACTTGTGGATCATGCGGCACACCCCCAATTTCCAACTGCCCCCCCCCCCCCTCACCATTCCCACCACAAGAATTTTTTTTGGGGTGGGGGAACCCTGTGTACGCCCTTGACTTGACAGTGACTTGTGAAGACCCAGTCAGGACGTCCTAAAGATGCTTCTTGTGAATGCCATCAGGACGACCTACTAAAGTGAATTGAAGGCTTAAGCTGGGAGGGGAGTGGGATGGAGAACAGTCTTAAACAGCTACGGCGAAAACGTGAAATGCTGCGACAGAGAAACCTACGGACAAAAACAAGGGACACCCACAGAGACAGAAGTCATTAGTAACCCGATACCCCAGTTCATGAGCAGTGACTTCAAACAATGTCTCACGGTCTAAATAAGACTTCCTCTGTAGTAATTGAAGAACTTCAGGACGCCTGATCACCCTAACTTTAAGTCAATTTAGGTCATAGTAAGGGGGTAACTGGTTCTTGCTGGGCTTATATATTAGAGGTCTCTGTAGTTTACAAGGTTTATCAACTCGCATAATTCTCTATCTTTATAACCTATATTTTACAATATAAAGAAACATTTATTTAAAATAATTTAGGAAAATATTTAGGGTACAAAATTTAAGTGTTTTCACAAAAATAGGTTAGTTCTAATTTATTAAATTCAATACAAACCGAAAAACAATGTTTTAAAATAATTTGAAATTTTGATATTTCTATGGCAAAGTTTTATGGATACATAGACAGTTTGAACAAACACTAAGTGAACTTTTAAAAAAGGTAAGTTTGAGAAAATTCAAAAAAAAAATTTTATAAGTTTTAGAAAAGAACAATGTTTTATAGGTATATGCACTTTGAGCACTATTAAACCTTTAAAACAATGAACTATATACTTGCTTGATTTCAAAAATCCTTTTTTAATACTTTCTTAACTGTACAAAGTGAAAAACATTGATTGGAATTGAGAGAATAAAAGCAATTTTAAAATGCAAACAAAAGAGTAAAATTCGAATTAAATTGATTTTGAATAAGCTAACGACATTGATTTTATTACACTTTTCAAATTATGCAGTTTGATATTATTATAAACATAAAGTAAAATATATGTTTTTATGCTTTGCGAAAGAACGCTAGGTTGGTCTGAGATTAATATGCTGGCTTGGCAAGATTTGGTTATGTACACTGTTCAGGGTTACCAACAAAATATGAGACTGTAAAGACGACCTGAAAATCTTCCAATATGACGATCCCAAGGTTCAATCAATTCCTTTTACTTAAAGCTGGTCTTCAAATGGTTTATTTGATAATTTGGGGGGGGAAAAGTTATCATTTAGTTGTTGGGAATCATGAGTGTAGGGGAACAGACAATGTCAGGTCCGTAAAGTCGTCTCTAACATCTCTTTCGTTTTGGGTACCCCTGTATGTCAAGAAAGATATACCAGGAACCACCATACGTTAATTTGCATAAAAGTGTACAATTTTTGTTATAACTAAAGTATGTGGGCTCCATAGCCTAGAAGTTAAAACATGGTACTGTTATGAAACCCAGTGTCGGAAACCAGGTTTTTCGAATGGGGTAAGGTAATTTTGTAGATTTCAACATTTTTTGTAAGAAATATTCTTTTTTTAAGTTTAGTTTATATTCTCTTTTAATTTTTCTATTTTGTAAGTAAATCTACAAAAATGTATACACCCCGAAAAGGAAACTCAAAGTTTCGTTAAACAATATTTTTTTGAATTTCCGGCTTAGTTGTATCTTTCTTGATGTACGGCATGTACCAAACATATATATGTACATTTGCACAAACATACACATTTGTACATGTGCAGCTTCTTTACTGTTCAGCAATACATGAATAAGTCTTTCATTTGACAACAATATTGTTGAACTTTCCGAACAAAATGAATATTTTTTTGAGAAAAAATATTTTTTTGAAAAGAAATAGCCCAAAATAAACAATTGATTTGATTTTGACTGATTTGTTAAATGAAAATTTTACTTTAAAATGTAAAAAAGTAAATAAGTAAATTTTGTAGGTCAAATATGTGTTTTTAAACGTAATTTCAATAATTGTAAATGAATGGGGTTTTCGAAAAAATGTCTTGAAATTTGCCAAAATGTATTCGTAATACAATACATTTATAATCAAAGAGAACTTAAACTAAAGTCATATTTTCCCAACAAAGTGGCACCCATAGAATAATACTGTGGAATAGGAAGACGATCCTATATGTATCTGATGTTTTTTAAAACAAAAAGTGTTATAATGAAAATCCACTTATTAAATTGGTCTGCAGTGTACGCATCACATCTGCTGTGTTTCATTGGACCATTTCTAATTATAACTTGAGACTAACTGTCGTCTTCTGTTCCACAGTTTTTCGAGTACCATTGTCCATTGTGTGAACAACCATGACAATGTTGAAGGAAGGGTAGATAGATTAGAAAATGAATTTGGTGGATTATGCTAAATGTTTACAGTGTATGCCTTTAGGATGGTAAAATAGCTATGATGCATAAAACAGAAAGAAAATCTAACATGTCAGGTTTCTTTCTTTCGTTCCATTCATTTTTCAAAACATTTTGAAGATAATTTCAAATACTAGTTAGAAGAACATTAGCTTAAACATTGAAAATTACAATTGTTTACAATTCGCCATCTTTTTACAACATATACTTTTTTCCAATAACATGATTTTTTTCACAGGACCAAATTTTTCTTTTGAGTTTTAACGTGACATATGACCAAAATTTAAACATAATATTTTGGAAAAAAATAAGAAAGGTAAAAAGGAATCGAGTCATTGTCACAAACTCCTATTTTCTTATATTTCAAACTTAAATTATTTTATCTAACAGAATACATAGTTTGAAATATCTAAGGTCTACAACATTGGGTTGTAAAGATATAGGGATTAGAAAATCAGAGTTTGTGGCAAAGACTCAATTCCTTTGGTTAATAAAACAATGAAATATATATCTAAAGTGAGAACCAAGAAAATTATTTTTATCGTCGACTTTATTTTCTTTGTGAAATGTCATTGAAAGATATTGTAATTTGTAACTGACAATTGATTTATTTTTACAAAATGTCCCCTAAACAATTGAAAATTAGAAATCATTAGAACCATTTCTTAAGGTTGGCCAAAAAGAAATATGACTTTTTCCACAGTTTTCTGGTTCTCACTTGTTGTCACATGTTTATGAAATAATCAGGATTAATACCAATATTACGAACATAAAACTACACCTAACATGGGAGAACTAATTCAAATGATGAAAAGTGTACTTCTTGTTCGTGCTAATTGTGCAAAGTTTACTGTTAAGTGTTCATATTTGTGCAGTTTACTGCTAAGTGTTCATATTTGTGCAGTTGTCGTAAAAACATTCAGTATTTGTACATTGTACATTCTGAGAAGCCACAAAATACATATTTTCCAAAAAAAATAAACAAATCAATCTGTTTGAATGTGTAAATGCAGGTTTAGAATAAACAAGCTATTTTTCATTTCTGGAATAAAAAAAAGTTCTAAGTAAAGTAACTTTAAATAAGAAATTGAATCTTATATTTGTAGCTTATTTCTAATTCATGTCTGATGTAAAAATATAATGTTTATAAATGTACATATGTTTATGAGTTCCAATTTTACAAAAATATTAACTTATTCTGTACATTCATTCTTCATCCACGGTATACATAAAGAATATCAGTATGGAATGTTTGGGACATTTTTACATTTAAAATCAAAACAAATTTAGAAGAAAAAAAAAATAATCTAAAAAACTAGAATGTTCTAAATTTAACAAACTAAGCTTTTTAATTACTTTATTCAAGCACTTCGCCTTCCCCCTTTAACAATATTTAAAGGGACTGCAAGCGTAAATTCAAATGACCCTCTATGCAAAGATTGCAATGCCCGATTTACAATTATATCCTTTAAACATTTAACTGGTCATCGAGTAAAGATGTACACTGCGTACAGTGTGAACTTAACACAGCTGATGCGTTACGTGTGTCCCATGACATCATCGAATAATTTACATTAAAAGTGGTCTTAAAAATTCGAAAAAAATGCCAATTAATATTTTTAAAGCATAAAACAGGTGGTAGACAAGATGTTCTATAATTAAAAGCGTTTCCGTAGATTACTGGAATAAATCTGACAGAGGTTTTATGGGTACCGTTGTGAATCAAGCATTGCTATTTTAATGCATGAAGAGTCATTTGAAATTATACGTAAAGTCCGTTTAGCCGATTATAAAATATGAGTAGCAAAACAATATTTGATGGAAACAAAATAGACACTCAGTAGGACAAAAAAACTGTTTACATATTTTTTACACCAAATAGGGCAATTTTGTTTTACTTATATTATCGTCAACCCTCGAACTCAACAAGTAGCTTTGTATTTTTAGAAAAAATCATCCGGTACCACTTGCCCCAATTGATTTAATTGCTCCTAAACGGAATTTAAAAGTTAAATTATAAATTCCTTTTTGCAGTTAATATAAATACAGCGTAAGTTTCTTTTGAAAAAAAAACTGTCACTGAAAAAGATTTAATTGCTGGTATTTTAAGAGTTGATTTTGCTCTAATTTTGGGGGTTGCTTTTGATTTAGATTAAATATCAACAGGAATACGCAACAAAAACATCCAACATTAAAACAATATTATACATTTAATACACAACATATCAAATTATTTTAATAAATCACTTTCCACTTGATTGTTTTTCATATAAGTCACTTTTTGTCCATTTAGAAGAAAGACTTGGAAGTCCCCTGTGGAGGTTTACAGTTCGAATAGTCTGGTGGGGGTGTGAGCCCCTCTGCTTCCTTGATAAATACTGCTGTATATGAGGGGGGGCTGTCCCCTTCCATCCCCCTGTGAGGAGCATCCTCTGTGCTCGAATTACGAGATCTAAGAGGAAAATATATATTATTATACAGTTGTTGGATCGTATATATCAATGCGATTGCATTGATATAAACGCTTACCACTCTACAACTAGAGGTTTGAAACGAATTTACATAGAAAGGCTTAATTTTTACTTCTGCTTAAAATTACAACGTAGTTTAAAAAAAAACAATTTAATTTTGTTTGAATTTTTAAATATGTAATTTAAGATAAATATGCTTGATGGTAACTGATTTTTTTACTAAGAACTAGTCATTAAAAGAAACCTCACGGCACAACTAAATGTGACGTATATTCGCGGACTTCAATCAATAATACGTCATTAAAATATTGAATCAGAATAAACACAATCCAACTCAGCTCGCAACCCTAAACTTAATTTGTTACTATTAAGTTCCTAAACAGTCCTAGTTATTTACAAGCGCAGTAAGTTATTGATAAGTGTAGTTAGGCTTAATCGCAAAACAGGTAAGACGAAGTTAGTTAGGATACAATGTACAAAGTAATTTATCTAGGTGTGTTCAGGTTTATAAGTATGAAGATTGCGACGAGATTTATTACAACCCTAATAGCTCAGATTAGTGCCCAGTGGCTATGGCTCACCTTCTACTGTATTCTTCAGTACGCTCCAGCAGGGCGGCCATATTTGATGTATGGGGAGTCAGGATAGGGGGAGATGACTCAGTACTGGGAGTTCTAAAATAAAAAAAAATTATAATTGTTTCAAAATTAAGAAGTAATTAGTTTAACCATTGTAAAAGCAACGATTTTAAAACTAGAAATGTAATTATCAAAAATCAGATAACACTTTTAAAAATCAGAAATATGAAATTAAAAAATTAAAAAATTAAAAAGTTAACCAAAATTTAAAAGATTAATAATTTTAAAGGACCCTCCATTTTAAAACTGGCATCATCGATTCACAATACCACCCATTTAATCTTCATCTTATAAAAGGAAGTTAAATTAATAGCATCGTTTTTAAAGAGATCACACAATTTCAACTAATCAAATTTCAAAAAGAGAAACACAGTTCTCTCATTTGGTATCAGACAAAGCTTTTAAATTCAATTAGCAGTAGCATTGTAAATCACTTTATAAGTAGAGGGAGGGCCACATGGAATAACACGTACATTCCCTTCCGCATAAACATCAAGAATAAAGCAAAATATTTATAATAAAACAAAATACCTTCGAAGATGTCTGTTCTGCCTCCAGTCTATTTCCCCAGTTATAATTCTACTGAGACTGTCTCGGGGAACTAGAAATCTTTCACAGGGCATCAGGATAGTGATCTAAATATCGGGATAGTGATCTTAATATCAGGATAGTGATCTAAATATCAGGATAGTTTTCTTGATATCAGGATAGTGATCTAAATATCAGGATAGTGATCTAAATATCAGGATAGTTTTCTTGATATCAGGATAATGATCTAAATATCTGCAGAATAGTGATCTAAATATCTGGATAGTGATCTAAATATCAGGATAGTGATCTAAATTTCAGGAAAGTGATCTAAATATCAGGATAGTGATATAGATATCAGAATAGTGATCTAAATATCAGGATAGTGATCTAAATATCAGGATAGTGATCTAAATTTCAGGAAAGTGATCTAAATATCAGGATAGTGATATAGATATCAGGATAGTGATCTAAATATCAGGATAGTGATCTAAATATCGTGATCTAAATATCAGGATAGTGATCTAAATTTCAGGATAGTGATCTAAATATCAGGATATTTATCTAAGTAGCAGGATAGTTATTTTACGCTAGACCTGCAAAGGAATGGGAATCGTTTTCGTTTCTTTATGGATTTTGAGATAAATTCAACAAACGAAAAGTGGGCTTCTGTTACATTTTGCACATTTTTTCATTTAATTTTGGTTTAATTGGTTTTCATCGGTAACAAAACGATCAAATTCGTTTTAAAAATGTGAAAACTGCCCATTCTTAAATATTCATATTTTAGTTCATCGATTAGGTTAGTAACAAAGTACAAAATTAAAATAATTTTGCAACTCACTTTCTAGTAATATTCTTAAACACACTGTGTTTAACATGAAAATGTCAGAATTATTTTTCAAACGACGGAATTTTGATTTGATTTCTTTGTATGCTTTATCCGAGGAAATATGAATTTGATCGTTTTATTCAATTCAGTTGAAGATAAACCTATATTATAACTATAATTTATCTCTTCAGTGAGGCCTTGTAAGGATGCAATAAATATAGGGGAAATATTACACTGCCGAGGCTTCCCAAGACGAGGGAGTGACAGCAATTATTAAAAATGTCAAAAATAGGAATTTCCCAGAAACCCAGGGATTTGGGAAATTTCCAATTTCCAAAATCTTAAAAATATACCGCCCTCAAATACCTACAGAAATTTGGAGAATTTCCCAAATTCCTGGGTATCTGGGAAATTTCCCAAATGTCTATTTCAATAAAAAATGTAAATGCTGTCGTGTCATGTCCAAGACCTTGTTGGGTCCTAAACCATTACGAGCGTAGTGAGGAATTAAAAAAGATCAAGGGAAGCCTAGGCAATACAATATTCCATATATATTTGTTTCATCCTTGTTTCATCACGTAATTAAAGAAATGTAATTTTTTCAATTTTTAAACTAAGTTAATGGAGATTTTTCTAAGCAAAATATAAGATTTGAATTTACGAATAAAACTTTCTTAGGATTTAAAAAAAAAACTGTAAAATCTATTTATTTTTGTAACAAATATTTTAGGTTCTGAAATCAAATCTAATTCATGTTGTCGAATCTGTAAATCCGCAAATCTGCAAATCAGCAATCAATTAGTTTGCATCCCGAGGATTGAAATCTTACATTGCGACCCTGGGTTACAATGAAAATATCAGAGATTCAATGGTTCCTAATTTTGTTCAAAGTTGAATATAACTATTAACTACGTGTTGAGTTTAAGTTAAAGTTGAAGATTGATNCCCCCCCGTCACTTTGGTCCTATACATTGATCGATTCATCCTTTGATCGGTCTCATCACTTGATCGGTCCAATCTAGGGTTTCCAATTGGAATTGCGCGCAACTGTGCTCGAATTGCGCGGAGTTTATAGAGCTCGCAATTGCGCGCAAGTAATATCAACTTGCGTTGGAAACCCTAGTCCCATACATTGATCAGTATGCCCTCTTGAAATTCCACCCGTTGATCGGTTCAACCCCTTGTATCCTACCTTCTGTGGTTCTGAGAAGTCTATATCCGGGACTGATTTGTCCAGCTGGTAAGGAGGGTCAGTCTGGGGAACAAAACTGTACTTGATTGTGATATCCAGGTTGTGACGTTGAGATCCATCCTAAAATACAAGATTTTAAACATGGTTTATTGTTTTATGTTAGATTGAGCTTTTGTCCTGACTCTGAACTGAAAACTGTATAAAGTATATAAAATTCAACCAATCAGAGTGGTGTATGCAGAATCCCAAACAACCAATCAGAATCCAGGAAAGTTTTTAAATTGTGCTCTGTTTAATGAGAAAACTCTCATTGGTCGAAATCTGGTAAGACTATTAAAAAACAGAGAAAAAGAGTGGATGAAACAGAAAATTAAAAGTGTCCACAATGGATATTCAGTTTAAGCAATCGGGATTAAGAGTATTCAATTCATTAGTTCCCAGCTCTGAAAAATTAAGATAACAATTCCGTCAAATCTTTATACTTTATAAAATTAAACCTAAAACAGTAAAAGTTTTAAACTTGAAAAAGTTCTTTAATTATAGATGAAGTAGATGTAAAAATCGCACAACTTTCTCGTATGAAAAACAGCCTGTCTCATAGTGGCCAAAACTTGGGATTTGCTCAATCAATGAGAAACTCTGATCATCAAAAGTTTCCATTTTTGATGGATTTCTTCCTTTTTTGATTTGTCTGTTTAATCTTTAGGAAAAGAATGAATTGATTCTGCTGAATCAAATAAAATCTATATACATAATTTGTTTAAAACTTTAGTATAACATGAAAGAAAAAACACTACATTAGATCAGGCCAGCATAACTGCATTGCACAGATGCAGTTCTAAACTCTAGGATTTCTTTTCAATCTGGCTAGAAAGATTGAATGCAAAGATGAAATAGCATCCTTAAGAAAAACTTTCCAAAAAATGTTCAATAAAAATGCTTGAAAAATTTGCAAACTCCAGAGAAATAACTACTTATATAAATATTCACCTCTAGTAGATAGTTGAAGAAGATTCCAAGGGGAGGGAAGATGGTTGAGATAACTACTTATATAAATATTCACCTCTAGTAGATAGTTGAAGAAGATATCAAGGGGAGGGAAGATGGTTGAGATAACTACTTATATAAATATTCACCTCTAGTAGATAGTTGAAGAAGATACCAAGGGGAGGGAAGATGGTTGAGATTACTTGAAGGAAGTGTCTTTGTTTCCACATAAAGTACCTGGACAAAACATTTCATACATATATATAATACTAATATTACTAGCTTGGGAACCCAGCGCTGCCAAGGTTAGCTAAAAGTTACTCCCGCCGTTTACCCGCACTTGAACGATTTACCTGTAAACTAAATTTTCACTTACGTCGACCCACTAAATTTAGATATTTAAAACCAGGCTATGAACATTCTTTCTGAGGTTTTCCCAAGTTCCTTAATCAAAATTTGAGACAAATCGGATAAAGGGTTCCCAAGTTATGATCGGACAAACAAACAGACAAACAGATATTACAACTTTGTATATAGATAAAGATATATATATATATATATATGCTAAAACAAAACACTTTATATCTAGTTCTTCTGCTTGATTCTCTCAAGTTTTAAATTCTTTTCAAATTTAAACTTAAAATCTCAAGCATAGAGCTGAATTCAGCATTTCTTTTAAAAAGGGGGATGGGGGGATTTTATTATTTTTCAATCCATTGTTTTGTAAAATGGTTGGCGATTATATCAATACAATGAAGACGACTTTTTTATTTAAGTTTCAATTGTTAACAAGCTTTTTACGAATTTAAATTTACAAGTAAAAAAAAATAAGCTTTTTTAATTGACAGCTTCTTTTGGTTTATATGTTTATATGTATTTATGCTGCAGTTTAAAAGTTGGAAATAAATCAAAATTAAATTGAAAGTTGTCTTCATATATGCCACGAACCACTTTATTGAGCAAAAAATGAACTTCTTAAACATTTAAAACAAGATTTTGTTTGTATTTTAAATGTTGTATTATGTACTTTCTACTTTAGGTTAATCAATATGTGCCAAAAAAATTAACAATTTAAATAATTTGTTTTATTTTAACATTGAAATTTTGAAACCTGCTGAAATTTGCATTAATTTAAATTGTAATTAAAACTGTTTAATTAAGAGAACCGAAATTAATTAAAAATACAAGGCCACCCCTAAAGAATAAGGGAGGTAATTTAGTTTATATATATAATAATAGGTTTTTTTCAAGTAGTCCCCATATTACAAGATTTACGATGGAACCATTTCAACCATTTTTTTAACGGCAATTGGAAAAATCGTTTTTCCAATCTTAAAAAGGTTGAATTCTGTAAATTATGTTTGTTGTGTCAGTTGTAAAAATTCCGGGATTCACTCTGAAAGAGAAACCACAACTTTTAAACAGGAATCATTTTTAGTCAACAAGAAGGTTTAATTACATCGATTGTGACTTTAAATATGAAAATATAAACGAAAAAGTTTAAATTACCAGAAAGCCGGGAGATCAAGTTCACGATGAACTATAGCTGACATCTTAGGTCCGTTCATTTTTAGCAGATCATCCTAAAATATTTAATATTCATAACATGTTCAAATTTCGAATCATTTTGGTTGGTTGAATTCACAAAGTTTGGATTTAAAAAAAAAAAAAAAGTGTTTTTAAATTTCAAAATTCTATATTAAAAATTGAAACTCACAGTAATACAGTTTTTAAACTATAAAAAATGTCAAACTTAAAATCAATAAGTAGAACCTGTTAATAATTTTAACTCTTTATTCTTGATTAATTCACCAAAAGGTTTGAACAACTTTTTAGTTTAATAGAAAATTCAAGAAAGAAAACCTCTAATGTGTTGCAAATACTAGCAACAAAGTATAAAAAACTTTAAAATATGTTTTGTAAACTGAATAATATATTAACTACTAGAAATTCAAGGCGCTTCGCGCCTTTCTTTCTAGGCGTTTAGGGCGCTTTGCGCCCATCTTCCATTTAAATTGTGAATATGTTCTTTTTAAAACAAAGAAGAAAAAAATTTTGCGGATTTAAAAAAAAATCGCGGGTTTTCAAGAATTTAAATTTTTTTACAAAATTAAAAACATTTAAAACACATTTTTTTATTATTCATAAACCTTCCCTGTGGTCACGTGACGTCCCACAAAAAATTTGGGCCCGATCGGTTCAGCCGTTTTGACGTTTATTGGATACAAACAAACAGACACACCCAAACAGGCAAGCCAAATTTATATATAGATACAACTTTTTTAAATTTTCACCTCTGGTTGTGTTGCAAGGGCTCCGTCTTTAAGCTGTATAGGGGTTCGTATCTCCAAACTGCTCGACTTAATCAGATATAGTTAGCAAACCCCTTTATTCAAATTTAATGAATAGCGAGAAGTTTTTGAACTACAGGGACTAAGTTCAACCACTTCACATATCGTTAACAACTTTTAACAAACATTAAATAATTTTATGCTAGATGGCCTAAGTTGGGTAGGGAGGAGAGGGGAGTTTTAATTTTTTTGATTTTGGAGATAAAATGCTGCCAAAAAAAATAGCAGAAATTCTATACTATCTAGCAACAAAGACGACCTACAAATATGATATTTTTTACTTGAATTTAATTTTAGGATTTATTAAATGAATACTCCGGCTTTAGAGATTACAAAAGACGAAGTGGGCACAAAAAGTTTGCACTGTTTACGTCATAATCCTTATTAAACTATGCTGAAGTGTTTTCATGAAAGACAAGACTAAATAACGTTTTAGCAATTGTTTTTTAGATGTATTTACAATTTGGAACAAATTAAAAAGAGAGAAAAGAGGGATTTGTTTTCATCAAAATAACTTTTTTTTCTTGTTTGACTTAGATTTCCTTTTAAGAAATATTTCTCATGGCTGTAATTCTTCTGAGCTTGATACTTGATCTCGATATTTTATTAATCTACAAATTTATTTAATTTTGATTTAATATCCTGCATTGCTTGATTCTCTCAAGTTTTAAATTCTTTTCAATTTTAAAATGTCGGAGATATCTTTGTTGTCCTTTAAACACATGTTAACAAAAAAGTGCAAAAAAGAAAGGGAGATAATGTATGTTTAAATGGTCAAAATGTAATCGGAAGTCGCAGCTTGCAGGGATAAGGACAGAACTGTTAAATCTAATAAAAAAAACTTACTATTGTCGGTATCTGAATAAAAAAACTTACTATTGTCGGTATCTGAATAAAAAAACTTACAATTGTCGGTATCTGAATAAAAAACTTACTATTTTCGGTATCTGAATAAAAAAACTTATTAGTGTCTGTAACTGAATAAAAAAACTTACTATTGTCGGTATCTAAATAAAAAAAACTTACTATTGTCGGTATCTGAATAAAAAAACTTACTATTGTCGGTATCTGAATAAAAAAATTACTATTGTCGGTATCTGAATAAAAAAACTTACTATTGTCGGTATCTGAATATTGTAAGATGCCGAAGTGGTGTTCCGAAACTTGGTCGAAGCTGTATCCAAAACCTAGAAAAAAAGTATAAATAGTTGGCATCTTCTCTTTGTTTCCATGTTTATGTGTATCCATGCTGGTTGAAAGCTTGGTAAAAATCAAAAATTGAAATTGAAGGTCGTCTTCATTATATTGATATATACGACGACGACTAAACAATCGAACCTTGGAGACGAATTTGTGAGTATTTCTGGAGCTAAGCCTATCCTCTGGCATCAGATCGATGGAGATATCCATGATGAACACTTTGTTCTTTCTCAGCAGCTCCTACATAACAAAAAGTGAAGTTTTTCTATCATGCTTGGAATTGACAGTTCGCTATTTCTAACTTTTCACTTACAATGAAGCAGTTAGAGCAACAAAACAATTACCAATCTTGGATTGAATCAATATTGGCACCATCTAGTTGCAAAGATATAGAAGTTAGTGTTGAGTGGGCAGTTCTATTAATTAAAATTGAATAGATTTGATCATTATTGTCACCATGTAAAGATATAGGGATAAGGAAATGAGAGTTTGTGGTAAATGGTTGCACCTCTTTTTTATATAAAAACGTCAAATCCCATATGTTACTCGATAAAATGTATTGTGTCTTCTATATATAAATTTGGCTTCTCTGTTTGTTTGTTTGTATCCAATAAGCGTCAAAAAAGCTGAACCAATTGGGCTCAAATTTTGTGTGGGACCTCACGTGGCCCCAGGGAAGGAATGATCAAAATTTAAATTTTGTGTTTAAAAGTTTTTCATTTTTGTAAAATTTTGAAAATGCGCGAAAAAATATTATGAAATCCGCAAACTTTTTTGTTTTGTTATTGTTTCATACTGTACAAAGAGAAGATGCTCACAGATAAAACCTCAAAAAAAGTTGAAACAGAAGATGGGCGCGAAGCGCCCTAAAAGCCTAATAATGTATATTTTAAGAAATTGTATTTGATGCTTAATTCAAAGTTTGTAAAGGCTAATCAATGCTGGCATTTCATTATTGATAAATACATTAGTTTCAGCTCTTTGCAAAGATAAAACAAACTTAAACTTTTAAATTGTTTTCATCACATTTGTATAAAATAATGTTTTCGGAAATTGTTTTATCTGAAGGAAAAGAGTAAATATAAAAATTAGCTTTGCAACCACAAATCATCACAAACAAAGTTTTTGACGCAAACTTTCAAAGCACCATAAGGTTGCAACCTGATGGTGCACTCTGAATATCTTTGATAATTAGATAATTGTGTCTAACATAATTGGTAACAATTTCACTTATAGGTCTACGACATTTATTGGAAGGATATAGGGATTATAAAATCAGAGTGTGTCGCAAAAACTCATGCAGGTGCTTAGTGATGATTTGCGGTTGTAAATTACAAAAATGAATTCTGCTTACCTCTAGCACATCCGATATATTAATAGCAGATTCAATCCTGTTCTTACGGGCTCCAACCACATCTAGAAAATTACAAAAATGTTAATTAAAATAATTCTACAAAAAAAATTCTTCTTTTGCAAGAAAATTGCATTTTATAAAATAAAACATCCGTTCTTAAACTTGTATTATCAATCAATTCTGTATCCTGTGTACGAAGTCATTTGCATTTATTTGTATCTTGTATTCTATTCTAGATTTTCATTTTTTTATCCTGTATATTTAACCTTAATTTTGTATCCTGTGTACTTATCCTATTTCCTGTCCCTCTTAACCTTTATTTTTGTATTCTATATCCTATATCCTCTATCATATACCATTTCTTCCTTTATTTTGTATCCTTTAACAAGTACAGTTTATTCCTTTATTCTGTATTCTGTATCTTGTATCCTGTATCATGTGTCATTTACTACTTTATTTTGTATTATGTATTCTGTATCATGTATCATATAGTATTTATTATTTATTTTTGTATCCTATATCCTGTATCCTGCATCCTGTATTCTGTATCTTGTAAAGATTGGATTAAATTTTTAGTTTGACAGTATTTTTATTACCGTCTTTCCATATTGTCCATTCATTTCTATTTTGGAGATAATAATATTCCCCATAAGTTGTACTTTGCAAAATATATCTCATAAATTTAAGAGATTTTTACAAAATTCTTGTTTGCGGGCTTTCGACTCTTCAAAAGCACAGGGTGTCCCAAAAACATGGGAATTCAGTGACGAATTGGATATCGTCTTTGTTACGAATTAGCATTGTAATACCTAATTTCAAAAGCCATAATATTATTATGTCTGCTAGAGTTTATTTTATGAAAAGGGTACAAGACTGTAAAGATGTGTCTATAATGTCTCCGCAAGATGAACAGCGGTTTTTATACTGCAATTTTCTTTTTTTACTAAGATACAACCGTATGCAGTCAAAACATAAACAAACAAAATGTGAACATAGAAGACGAAACACTTACGGATTACAGCTTTCTCAGTAGGTATCACTGTACTAAATCAAAGAATTATTTAAAAAAAACTTTATCGAATTCGTCACTGAATTCCATGTTTATTGGGTGTAAAGTATAAAGTATATTTCTACGAGTAGTAAATTTGATTTGTGAAAAGTGTTTATCCGAACTACAAAAGTACACTTGTTCAGACCTCACAAATGTGTAGTTCGTAGAATTGCATTCTCGTTTGTCTGATAATTAGTAGAGAGGAAATCTCGTTGCGACGATGAAACACTTCCTGACATCCGAGTTCCGAGTTCAAGAGTGAAGTTCGCGTTAAGTCATGTTGGAAACTACTGTACAATATTGTAAATCTATCTAGTGTTTTCCAATATTGGCTTTTAGGGCAGTAAGGTTTAAAAGCATTGGATTGGAAAAAAGGAAGATTAGAAATGTCTAGAAGGAGTTGAGTTGTACAAAAAAATTGTCTTATATTTTGTATTTGTGTATATTTTGACATTTTTATGAAGCTTTCTCACTTAAATTACTTAAATTACTACCGTTTACACTGACGGTACATTGAACACTTAGAGGTACACGTTAAACATTGTACACAATTATGTACATTCGTCCTACATAAATTGTATTGTGTATGCAGTGCCCACGTACATTACACATATACATAGTGCATTGTATTACATTTTACAAACAGTAAATACATTGTACAGATACCCAAAAAATAACAAATAAATTTTACATATATTATACATACCTACAAACATTCTTATTTAATTACATTCAATTTAAATTATTTTACAGAATATTTACATAAATGTACACTTTATTTTGTACAGACAATATACATACATTGTACAGATCTTGTACCCAGTTAACTATACCTATGTACAGTTCTTGTACCTAGTTAACTATACCTATGTACAGATCTTGTACCCAGTTAACTATACCTATGTACAGATATTGTACTCAGTTAACTATAACTATGTACAGATCTTGTACCCAGTTAACTATAACTATGTACAGATCTTGTACCCAGTTAACTATACCTATGGATTCGGTGAACTCTGTCCAGAGGTGTGGAACAAAGTCCTTGGTTAGTGTGGTTCTGTTTGGGGGGAAGCATTGGCCTCCACTCACCTAAACAAAGTAGAAAATTTTTAAAAAATCTATCCATGTACAGTGATAACCAGGAAACAATGGAATAGGAGGACAACTGTGTAGCAATACTTGAATGTATTAAATCTGTTACGCGAGCTACGCTGCGTTCATAAAGTCTATGTGATACCCCTGTGATTCTCTGAGTTCCCCCTGAGGATCTGTACAGAACGTATTGTGAAGAATTAGTTTTAGAAGCTGTTTTCAGTCCGACTACGCATGCGCAAGTTCTCTGCGTGGGAGCGAGCAGTTTCTACTTCAGTATATAGTTGTATTTCATGTAAAGTTCGTCGATTATTAAAACCGTGTGAGATTCTAGGACCACTGCGGTAATTATGATTATATTTATATGAATCTTGTTTATTTATGTTCGGTTATGGTTGATATTGTATAATGTAATGTATGGGTTCCTTGCCACAGTTTTTTAATGCCTGAGTGGATTTATTGCTGTATTTGTATGATTTGTCACTCAATGCTTTTTCTGTAGGCTTATAAAAGATTATTTAGATTGAAGGCTTAGAGAAATAAACGTTCGGAACCTTATTATCATCCTTTTGTTATGGAGAGCGTTGAGAGAAGGAAGCCTTACAATCCTATCCAGAGAAATACCACTCGGTACTTATAAGTTTCATCAGGTCTTTAGGGAATTCGCTAAGTAGCGAAACAAAATCTATCCATGTACAGCGATAACCAGGAAACAATGGAACAGGAAGAAACTGTGGAGCAATACTTGAATGTATTAAATCTATCCATGTACAGTGATAACCAGGAAACAATGGAACAGGAATACAACTGTGTAGCAATACTTGAGTGTATTAAATGTATCCATGTACAGTGATAACCAGGAAACAACGGAACAGGAATACAACTGTGTAGCAATACTTGAGTGTATTTGATGTTGTTACTAAGCAAATTGATTTACCAGACACTCACTAAATCACTCATTTAGTAAACTGGGTCTGTTTACACTGCACACTCTTTTATATCTAATAGGATTCATAGCTTGAAAGATCTACGAAATGTGGTTGCAATTCGATAAAAGGACTAGAAAATCAAATTTTGTTGCAAATACTCAAATTCTTAGTTATTCTTCTCGTAATTGAATTGTCTTTCTGAGAAAATGTCTCAAATGATTTGAAATTTTAGAAATATATGTTTTCTCCTGCTTGCATGATGGTACTATATAATGTGTATTATACACGAAAAACTTGTTTCGAAAGATTAAAAATATAAAAATAAAACTGTTTCATTGTTGAAAAAAATTAAAAGTTACCCAATTAAACTTTGAAAAAAAGGTTTAATAATACTAAAACAGGCCCCACGAAAGTTAAAAAAAATCTATAAAAGCTTCCCAAAAGTGATTTCTCATAGGTCAGGGCCTGGAGGGGGGGGGGGGCGGTTTCTTGTGAAAGAAAACTTTTGTAAAAAATGTAAATTTTTCTACATTTTTCTGGGGGATAATACTAATAGAGAAATAATGGTAAATGCATATACCTTGATATTACACATTGGTTCAGTTGCCTGGATCCTGCTAAGGAATGTTTTCAGCTCTGATGGAGAGAAGCAGAGGGTCGGATACCTAAACAAACAAAGCAGGATAAATATGGAAACTGCATGCCTATACATTTTTAAAACTAAAGATGCTACCGAGATCACAAACTACTACTATTAGTCATGTAGCCACTATAGTTTCAGTTGAAGTAAATATTTCCATATACTGCTAGGCGCCGATTTAAGAATTCATCTCTAATAGGATAATGAGATAGATAGAAAAATAATTAATTATTATTAATTATTCCCCTGTTCAGTTCACACCATAGTGAAAAAGGTTTTAACAAAAATAGTTTTACAAATATTAATGATTTATAAGATAAATAACATTAAAAGAATAATAAATAAATGAATATATATAACAATACAAACATTATCTACCTTTCCCCGTTGAACCAACGAAGTGTGACATAACTGCTGTGAACCAAATACAGGAGGCCAAGCAGGCTCAAGACCAGGCTAAAGTAAGATATTAAACATTTGATTTAAAGGGAGTGTTCACGAAATTAAAAGGGGCTATAGGCTGATATCGAATCGAAGATTGTAGAAAAGAGTGTAGCGTGAAAATTCGCAGATTACATTATTCCATGCGGAATGTAAATAATTAAGTAAGTAAGTTGAGTTTTTGCCAAAAATTCAAATTTTCTAATCACATTATCTTTGCAACCGGACGCTGTAAACCTTTTTATATTTCAAACTTAGAATATTTGATCCGTCAGAATTCTTAGTATAAAATGTCAAAGATCTACAAGAACGGGTTGCAGAGATACAGGGATTAAAAAATCAGAGTTTATGGCAAAAACTCAACTCCAATAAAATTAATCATTCATATGAATTTCTAACTGAATTTGATGCATTTGTACATAGAAGATATTTCAAATGTTTAAATTTTTTATATATAACGATTTTTTGGCCTTTTAGTTGTCTTTTCCAAATGAAATCACTGAAATATCGAGAGCAGAGACACCTCACGGCAGCCGTAGTACATTTGAATTTCCGAGCCGGGTCAACCTTTCTGATCCCAGTTTGTACTGTACCTAGCTCTATGGACAGGACTAGCCGGTGCAACAAGGTTGACGCGGTCAGACTTTATGCTTCATATAGGTTCAATTTACTTTTACTAAAAGGGCAGAGGTGCGTGACCTAGTTGCTAAATAATTGTCGTTTAAAGTACTTTATCTAAGAAAAAATAACATTTACACAGCAGAAAACTTTAAACCATGAATATCTAGTGAATGATAATAAAAATATTTTTGCTTTCTTTTCTGTAAAGGAAAATATCTTAATTTCTCAGTGAACTTAATGAACTAAATGGTTAATTACTTTTAATCAAACAAGAAAAGAAAAATACTATTTGAAAAAAAAACTTATGGAAAACTAAACAAACCAGAATATTAGGAAAAATAGTTGTAGATATTGTATGCAGGATTATTATAAAATTATATATTTTTATATCTAACAGGGCAGTTTTGCAACAAACTTGTGCAACCCGATGTCGTGAACCTTTGATATTTCAAACTAAGATCAAATAATCTAAGTTGGAAATATGAAAAGTTTACACCATCAGGTTAAGAAGATATAGCTAGGGACTCGATTACTTTGTACTTCATTTATCACCAATATTATTTAATAATTTGATGTTCAAGCTATCTGGTTAATTATTATCCTCATTTTTATGGGTTTTATGTTTTCTGTGTTTGACTGTATTTTCTACCTGTATGATATGGCGTTGTCCAAGTTGGAGGACAGAGATTCTATCATTAATAGTTTTCAAATTATGATATTTAATGAAAAATCTATCATTAATAGTTTTCAAATTATGATATTTATTGAAAAATCTATCATTAATAGTTTTCAAATTATGATATTCATTGAAAAATCTAGCATTAATAGTTTTCAAATTATGATATTCATTGAAAAATCTATCATTAATAGTTTTCAAATTATGATATTTAATGAAAAATCTATCATTAATAGTTTTCAAATTATGATATTCATTGAAAAATCTATCATTAATAGTTTTCAAATTATGATATTTAATGAAAAATCTATCATTAATAGTTTTCAAATTATGATATTTAATGAAAAATCTATCGCTCCGTTGCATTAATCATGAAATGTCAAAAACATTTAAAATCATTAATTTACAAATATTTAGGGCGCACAAAATTCTAACATTTTGTATTTATAAAATAAAAACAAATAATTGAACAAATATTAGTTTCGTTATATATCCTAACAAAAATGTGATCAGAGCTGGGAACTTTAGAATGAGATACTTTAAATCCCGACTGCTTAATCCGAATATCCAATGAGGACACTTTTTATTTCTTGCTTAATCCACTTTTTTTTGGATATAGTACAGAAAATCAAAAACCAGGTTTTCAAAATGAGGGAGTCCCTCCAGTTCCTGTATATAAGTCTTAAATGGCGCGAAAAATTTCAAATTTTCCGGCTTTTAAGACGCGTCTCCCACCCGATTAGTTGAATTTTATGCACTTCTCAGGATACATGTACAAGATTAGTTTAGTCTCGATGTTAAGAAAAAGAGAAGATCAAGCATTGATCTCGATATCCACCATTCTAAAGTTCCCAGCTCAGAGCTACAGACGATTTTGCAAATATAATAAAACAAAACATTCGTAAATATGTTCCCAATAGCCGGTCAAACAGCTGGACGGAATGGTCTGAACCCATGGGTACCCTGTGCGTAACGCATTTTGCATTTATCAAAAGTTAAAATTAAAAAAAAAAAAATTTTACGGGCAGCCTGGCCCTTCAGCTAGTAACCATTAAACACGAAAAATATTTAGAAACATTACTTTTAATAAATTTAACAAAGTAGGTCGGCAAATTAAATATAGGACTTGAATTGGATAATGAGATAGATAGAAAGATAGATGATGCTGCCATGCATGCAATTTCTATTGGTTCAGAATAGACAACAAACACACTATGAACCCTGATTGGATCAGGCGATAATGGAATCGCATACAAGTGTGTGCTAATAACTTTTAAAAAGAATTAGCGTTATCGCCTGCAGAGATATAACATATAAAGTCCTAATCAAAAAGTTAAAGTTTAAAGTTAAAAAGACGACTTTACAATCAAATTTTACAAATATGCCAATTCCAAAATGTGGTCTGCCTTTATTGTGCGTTTAAAGTTACCAGAGATATATATAATGGAGTCTAATTAACAATCAATAAATTCCGGGTCTTGTTGTTTATGAATATTTAGAAAAATGTCTACCCACTTTTGGGGAAAATTTACTAAGAAACTAATGAAAATACATTCACGCAACCTTTCACTGGAATTTGAGAAGGTTTTTTAAATAGTAAATATCAACAGAATGCTCTCTTGAAAAAATCAAATTTAAAATGTTCCTGAAACAGTTTCTGTCAATTCCTCCCCCTCTCTGTTCTTGTCTCCTAGCAGCCTAAATAACAAGATAATTACACATTTAAAAAGTTAGCTTTGAGCTATTATTATAAAGCTTCCTTCATGACAAGGTACTGTTGCAAGAAAAGTCATTTCAGAGGTGTACGCATTTTTTGTACTGCAGTGCACTGTCTTAGGACGGAAAAGTAAACACAAGACGAATTCCGAAATATTCTGGGTTATAGGAAACTATTATGTGAATTATCAAAATTATCAATATTAAGTGCTTTAATACTCCTTGGATACTAAACGAACACTGATGCATCTATTCTTGTTTACAAATTCCGCCAAGAGAGAACTGGTTTCAATATGTACGCAGAGTATACACAACCGCAATTAACTTTCCTTGCATTAGTACCTTGCTTCATGAGTTCTAAAATTATCTTTTCAGTGAAAACTTCGGAGACTAAATATTACTCAACATAACTTTGGTCATGCTGTAGTTTCAGTCGAAGTAAATATTTCCATTTTCTGTTATAGCGCCGATTGAAGATTTCATCTCGAATAGGATAATGAGATAGATTAACAGATAGATGTTACCGCGATACTAATTCTATTGGTTCAGAATAGACAACAAACACATAACTGAACCCTTTTTGGATCAGGCACTAATGGACTCTCGGCATAGTAGTGACGATGGCACAACGTTATTAATTTCCCATACATTTTGACTCTCATTTGATCTTTTATTAGATAATGTGATTGCCCTTGAGAATTGGACACATGAAACTATTTACATGCAGGTTTCACTCCTGTATGCCGAGAGTCCATTAGCGCCTGATCCAATCAGGGTTCAGTAATGTGTGTGTTGTCTATTCTGAACCGATAGAAATAGTATGGCGGTAACATCTATATTTCTATCTATCTCAGTATCCAATCAGAGTCATGAATCCTTAAATTGGCGCTATCAGTAAATGGAAATATTTACTTCTACTGAAACTATAGTCGGTTATTTAAAATAATATCAATATTGTGGAAGACGATGCCTGGCCGCGTTAAACTAGTTCCACAAGATTCAACAGAATGAGATAGAACGGATACGGGGCATTAGTACTGAGATCATCTCTACAGTCTACATGTGCGATATCGATATTGACTCTAGTTCTGAACCCTCTAGTAATAAGTTATAAGAAATATATATACTGGAAGTTATCTATGCGTTTTATTAGAGTCTGACTCACGTCCTCTATAATATAGTCTTTAAACAGTATTTCAATGAATATATTCTGTGAAGAATTAATTAGAAAACTCGAGGTAGTGCCTGGAATTAAATTAATTAGCTAAATAATGAAGGTTTCCCCAAGGGGGGTTGATTATCAGTAATCCACTCAAAGCATGTTATTATCATGTTTATGTTATTGTTTTAAATATATGTTATTGTTATATAAATTTATATTCATGTTTTGTATCTATGTTATCTATATATAAATTTAGCTTGGGTGTCTGTCTGTTTGTTTGTATCCAATAAACGTCAAAACGGCTGAACCGATCGGGCCCAAATTTTGTGTGGGACCTCACGTGACCCCAGGGAAGGCTTATGAATTATAAAATTTTAAAAATTTGTGTTTCAAAGTTTCTTATTTTTGTAAAATTTTGAAAATGCGCGAAAAAATATTATGAAATCCGCAAACTTTTTTTGTTTTTGTTTTATACTGCACAAAGAGAAGATGCTTACAGATAAAACCACAATTAAAAGTTGAAATACATGTTAGTTCTATATATTCATGTGATGTGGTGATGGAAAGGTGTATTTTAATAATGTTAATGTGTATTAGAATTATCATATTTCAAAATCTTATTTCAGCACAAAGATTTTTAAAATCGAAAATAATTAAATTTTTTGTTATCATCACTGTTATATTAGAAAAGTTTTAAAAGTGATTGACAGAGAGCAAAGTTTGATCTAATATCTTTAAAAGTTTGGCTCCAATTTTTCTTTAAACTTTTATTTAAATTTTTTTGATGCTTTATATATTTCCCGAGAGAGAATATTTCCAAGTTTAAACAATTTCGATTTTAAATTGCTTTTGAAATATCAAATTTTGGTTTATACATGAACAAAGAATTTTTTGTATTCAGGGAATATTTTTAAAAATTAGATGAAATTTAGGTAAACCACTTATATAAAGTAAAGTTTAGCATATATATATACAGTTAAGTTCAAATATAAAGAGACATCGGAAGAATTTATAAAATGTCGTATTCTTAACTTTCTTATAATGGAATGCTGCAGATATTTAGGTTTTAAAGTAAATATGTTCCCGCATATTCATGGCTTTTTATTTATTTTTGCAATTACTGAGATTTACGTATAATATAAGTATAAAAAACCATCGAAAAAAAGTCAAGACGATAATTCATAAATTCTTTCGATGTTTAAAAATCTCTGGGTTAAACTGTGTATATATCATTATAAGGGGGGG